TAGTGTGAAAATGTGTGTCCCCCTCCCCCTCCTCCCCCGAGGCGTAACTAATTACCCTGTCTGGTCAAGCGGGCGGCGCGAGCTCCGACAGAAGGTCACGGTGGCCACCGGCCGCGAGGGGAACGGCTCTCCCACGCGACACATTAACACCTCCCCCCTCAGGCTCAGCGAGCCGAGAGGAGGGGAGGGAGGGTGAGGGGGGGTCAATCACAGGAAAAAAGAAGGCAGACCCGATAAGAACCGATAAATACCGCGAACGCAGCATGCAGTCCGACAGAGAGGAGGAGTGAAGGAGAAGATGGACGGCGCGTGCTGCAACTCACCAGCCCCGCGAGGAGGAGGAGGAGAAGACCGTCTGGGAATTAGCCCGCCACGGATCATGGCTGGCGGGGAAGGAGACAGAAAGAGAGGAGAGAAGAGGAGGGGCGGGGGGGAGAAAGGAGCACCGGGAGGGATTTGTCGGTCTGTTGGTACCGAGGAGGAGGAGGAGGAGGGGGGTGATGGAGGGGTGGGGGATAACGGAGAGAGGGGGCGGATGGATAATCACCTGGGTTTGGCACAAGCGAGCGCGAGGCGGGAAAAGGAGGGAGGGAAAGGCGGTAAATGAGGGGAGGGGGGGGGGGTGCAATGGCGGAGGTCATGAACGGAGACGTGCGACGCTCTCGCGGCTGGGTGAAGGGGGGTGGCGGGGTGCACGCGACGCTGATGTTCAGCAACAGTGAAGGGAGGAGTGTGTGTGTGTGTGTGTGTGTGTGTGTGTGTGTGTGTGTGTGTGTGTGTGTGTGTGTGTGTGTGTGTGTGTGTGTGTGTGTGTGTGTGTGTGTGTGTGTGTCGGCTCGGCTCGTGCCTCTTGCTGTCGGCAGCGCCCGTGGCGGCGTGCCGCGTCGCGCGCGTGCTGTGAGCGCTCTGATTGGCGCAGAGCAGGAAACAGGAGGCGCGAGAGCTGGCTGCTGATTGGCTGCTGGCCGCTAAGAGCGAGATGAATGGAGAGCTGTTTTTCTGCCTTTTGGTTCATTAAAATGATTTCATGACACTTTTGTCTGATTCTGTTGTTTTTGTTTGATGTAAACAAGTCACAACCAACCAGAAGATTCATTCCCCGGTCACAGCAGCATTACGAGAACAGAATAAAAACCGACTTTAGGCGATGGTACAAATTCCCATCTCAGCTCTGTGGGATGTCACAATCCCAATCAGGAAAAAGGAACTGGAGAAGAACCAGGGCCTCCAAGAAGAACTAGAGAAAGCCTGGAGAGTGAAGATGGGTGGTACCCGGGGCAGTAACCCCCAGACTGGAGGAGTGGCTAAAGCAGGTCCCAGGGAAAAACATCAGACATCTCAGTCCAGAAAGGTGCAGATCTAGGAACAGCTGAGATACTGCAGAACCCTCAAGCTCCCAGGCCTCTGGTGGAGCACCTGAGACTGGAAGGAGACACCTGTGGGGGGTGAGGTGGGATTTATCTATTTCTATATTACATACCTGTGTGTAAGGTCATTTTACGTGTTCATGGTAAAGATAGATTAGGTCACTTCTGCCTCAGACTGAGATAAACCTTGTTACTGTGTCTGGATGAGGGTCATGTTACCATGGTAACCTCATCCCAAGGCTTTCCCAGGCCCAATGGTCCCAGATCTGGCCCAGGGTCCAGGATGAGCCTGGAGGCCTGAACCCTCTGAACTGTCTCTTTTTGATGAAGAGGAGCAGCAGCTACGCTCTGGATGATGGGGCTCCTCGCGCCGCTGATGCAGGTTCTTGGTTCCATGAGGTCTCGTGGGTCAGGGTCAGCAAACTAACTGGTTCCTGCAGATCTGTGCCTAAATCAATCCCGGAACTTTCTGATTATTTTTCTTTTTTTTTTAACCTTTATTTTACCAGGTGACATGTTCTCATTTACAGATATGACCTGGCCAAGACGTCTTGGAAGGCAGTGCAAAAGATTTACATTAAAGGTGTAGCAATCGATGTTTCTGAAGAACCGCCCTCTCAACGTTCTTTAAAATGCGCATGCGCACCCCTCTACCAGTCCGTGCTCTGTTTCCAAGCAACTGCCGGCTTTGCATCACCTGTTGACTCTAGCAAATTCTTTTTTCGCACAATGTCGGATTCTCCACCAGTAAGTTATATTCCATGTAGCATTACGAGCATCTTCATAGCTAACTATAGCATTGCAAAAAAAGCTATCAATTAGCGTATAAGTTATATTGTTTTGCTGATTGGTTTAGAGCTTTCCTGAGGAAAGTCTTGTTGGTTCTGATTTGGACTACGAGCCCGTGCCCGGTCCATCCCGACCAAGATCCAGGATGAGGGGTGCACCTAGAGACCGAGTGAGACGATCCAGGGCCGGAAGAGCCACAGCTTCAACAACCCGCGGCAGCCGAGAGCAGGTCGGAGGCGGCCGTGTCAGAGGTCGACGTCGAGTTCGAGGTCAAGCTAGAACCCGTGGGGGTCTGCTCGCTGAGCTTACACGGGATGACTTAGAAAGGGTCCAACAACTCCGGCAACAGTTGGTGGCAGTGGGAGAGGTATGCGTGCACATCTAACTACTAACTTATCATAATTCAGCACAAAAAAATGCCCAAAGCAAAGCCTTTATTTTACATTTGCTCCATTGTGAGTCCAGTTAATAAAATATGTACAACAACAAAGACACAGATAAGCACATAACAGATCAGACAGCATGTTACCAACAGGCCTCATTTAATCTGGGTCTGAAAAATAAAATCATACACACATGCAGGAGAATCATTACATCATACATCCTGGATCGCCTGTGTGTGTGTGTGTGTTATACTGAGCCAGGATCCTCTGGAGGTTTCTTCCTGTTAAAAGGGAGTTTTCCTCTCCACTGTCGCTGCATGCTTGCTTAGTATGAGGTTTGCTGTAAAGACTCTGACACTAGTCAGTGACTCGATGCAACCTGCTGGGTTCCTCATACAGTAAACTGTTTACTGATTGGCTGAATAACCTGACCTGTATCGGAGTGTTTTGTTTTGTTTTGTTTTGACTTTGCCTTCAGACGAGTCTGGTCGTGATTATGTGCTATATAAATAAACGGAATAAAGGTCTGCCCATCAGGCCTTTCTATAATAGGTTCATGTGTTATTATGGGATGCAGTGGCGGAGCTTGATATGTGCAATATGTGCGGCCGAACAGGGCGGCAGTCTGCAGGGGGCGGCATTTAATTTCCTTTTTTTTTTTTTTCTTCTAAAAAAATTTTTTTTAAGCATCAACCAATACATAAACAAAACATAGAAATCGCATGTTCTTAATAATAGTGATGATAATAATACTATTTCTGTAATAAAAGCACAACAAAGTGTAACCCATATCAACTACTCCCTGTCACATGACCCACGTCAGCTGATGTGAGGTCCCTCTCCTGATTGGCTCCTTCCACGTCGCGGCAACAATGAAAGCTGGCTGTGGGGGAATACGTCCGGGCTAAAAACAAAGCGTTTTTCTCCCCTCAATTCATTTATACTCTCATTTTACCTCAGCGGTAAGTGTTCTTAACATCTACCAATAACACCCTTTTACTTGTCAGTGACCAGTCGATCGTTTTCGCTATAAAAAATGACCCTGTTCGGCGGAGTTCCCACCGCGAGCAGAACTCCGGTTCAAAAACGCTGTTTTTGAAACACTTTTATTTACTTAAGCACTTTAATGGGCTTAACTTAAAACCAAGAGCAATCGAATGATTATTGTTATGTGTTGCCTTGAATTCGGCTATGTTGTCTGTCAGACAGTTGCTTTCCTTTATTGTTGTTTTTGTATTTGTTTGTAGCAAACGCTACTGGAATGTATAGATTAAGCTACGTAGCCAAGATGATTAATAATTGACCTGTTGTACATTCGTGATATGTTTACCGGTAAACTGAATCGAACTTGATGTGCTAATGAACGTTTCTCTGGCCTACAGGTCAGGTTTTTTTTCCCCCATGTTGAACTGATCTTCTTCATATTGAAGTGGCGAGCTGGTAGGACCATTCTTTCTTTTTGGAATCGGGAAATGAGCTATTATTTACCCCATGAAAAACGAAGCGGCAGCGGGCTGCTGGAGGTGCCCTGCTAGTAAGATCCCGTTTAAACTGAAAACTGCCATAAAATAAAAACTATAATAGCTAGAGCGTTCTTTTTTTAGCTGAAAGTTGAGACTCTCGCCTTTCAGCACATCTGTACTGTACAAGTCGATGATGCCATCATGTTGCGTTAAGTGTGTCTATTTCAGTAGAACTTTGACAAGTGGTGAGAAGGTGGCCAGGAGCTGGATGTTGTATTCAGTCAGCAAACGTTGTTATATATAATACACTCCACGCAATTTGAAACAAAGTTGTAGGTGTAATGTTTTTTCTTGTGTGTGTGTGTGTGTGTGTGTGTGTGTGTGTGTGTGTGTGGGGGGGGGGGGGGGGGGGGGGTGTCACAGGGGGATCTCGCACAGGGCGCCATTTAGGCCAGCTCCGCCTCTGATGGGATGTGCATAAAAGCTAGAACACTGGTTTATTGTTCCTCCTGGGTGAGATGGTCTGCTTCATGGAAGCTGAAAAGCTAGTTCCCATCAGAACTGAACACCTGGACCCGTATTCTCTGAACACATCTGGAAGAAGGTGGCCTGTGTTTAAACAAGAAAAGGCTGCCCCCTCGTGGCGGGACTCGATCTGTGCAGCTCTCGGTACCGAACGGATGTATTTCTAGCCGTTACCGTGTTTTCACTCATGCTGCCGGTAGAAGACTACCGTCACCGGCTGATCCCCTTAAACCCCGCTGCTGCCCGTAAGTTAGCCCCGCTGCTAGCTGTTAGCTCTTTCAGCAGCTTCTGGAACATTTGCTCGGTACCGGAGGGTGCTCCGGTTTAATCCGGTTACGAACAATTAAAGCAGCTAATTAACGTTCCGTCGCCCCGACACTCACCAGTTTTAATAGTTTATTTTATTACAAACACAACTAGCAGTTTGCCTTAGATAGCATCCAGCCTAGCATCAACACAGCTAACCTAAACTTTACCGACCAGTCATAACGGACAGGTAACGGATGACCCAACCGTGTCCGCCGGTAAGCGGAGTTAAAGGTGACTGTGTGTACCGTGCTTTAGTGTAATTTAACACATATCATCATGTATAAGCAGTGACTATCAGGGCGTAGATACCCTAGAAATCTGCTTTGGACCAGCGGTATCTCGCGTCAGCGTTGGTGGTATAGTGGTTAGCATAGCTGCCTTCCAAGCAGTTGACCCGGGTTCGATTCCCGGCCAACGCAGCTCCTTTTGAACCCGGACAGCGGGATCGGCACCGTTACACTCGGTGTTACATGTTTTATGTAACAGTTTACACGTTAGGCTCTGGTTACACGTGTGACTCATGATCATTTACATATAAAAATAAACCAACACAGGTAGTTTCTGACTGATAACAGTTGTGTTAGAACACCTGTCATGTGTGGCTTACAGAGAAGAACAACAGTCGTGTTTCTCTTTGGGTGCAGGCCTCTCCTTCTACGCTCTGGTGCAGACATGGGGAGGTTTTTCCACAGCGAGGTCGACATCAAGAGTCCGTGGCATCAGGTGCTGGTGGCTTTCTGGCAGCGCTACCCAAACCCGCACAGGTGAGCAAGCTGCAGGTGTGTCTGCCTCTGGGTTAGGGTTAAACCCAACTACCCACATTTAAATCCTAATGATTTGTGTTCCTGTCACAGGAGCAGGGGTAAGGACGGTGTGGGGCTCCTGGTTAAAACTAATGATGGAAACAGAGGACGGGGTTAGCTGAACAATGCAACTACTGGGACGTTTTTATTAAACTCCAGACCCTTTAAAACACGAACAGAACATCACACTATTTTATCGTTATAACAATCATTTAAAGTCTGTTATGTAATAGGAAAGGTAACTGCAGTACTGAGGTCCTCCACCAGGAGGCAGTAAAACAGCAGGTTTTTGTACCAATGCTATTTAAGTTGACATTCAGCTTTAGGGTTTAATGATCATTTACTAAAAAATCTCAAATAATAAAAAAAAAAGACCTACTGTTGATGCTGCTTCGCCTTTGAAAACATTTTCTGACATTTTCTTTTGGAGTCTTATTACGTTTTATCCAGAATAAACACACTTAATTAATATTTACTGTTGAAGCCCGAACCCAGCAGATCTATGGTAGAATACGTGATTGAACACTTTGTGAGACAACCCTCGGGTCTTTGTGTGGCAGCGCTCACGTCCTCACGGAGGATGTCCTGTACCGTGAGGTCACACCCAGCAACCACCTGTTGTCACGGAAACTGATGACCAAAACCAACCGGCTGCCGGGATGGGCAGAGCGAATATTCCCCACCCACATGGCGCGGGCCGTCTACATCCTAGAGGACTCCATCGTGGACCCACAGACGAACACCTTCATCACCAAGACCTGGAACCTGAATCACAACACACTGATGGTGAGGGGTGGGGTGATTGTTAAGGTGGCCCAGATTCTCACATTGGTGTATCTCTAATCAGTAATGCTGTGTTCTGTGAAGTAGGAGGAGCTTAACGGTAAAAGCAGTGATACATCCTGTTTTTCCCATCTCAGACAGTGGTGGAGCGCTGCCTCTTCCAAGAGGACATCTGTCGGCCTTCTTGGACCAAACTGAGGCGAGAAGCCTGGATCTTCTCAAATGTTTACGGGCTGGCCCGCCCCATACAGGTAACAGGGAGGAGCCAGAGTTTACCTGGTGATGGTCTCAGGGCCTCCTGGGAGGTGAGACATCACCTAAATCTGGTGCTCAGCAGACAGGCCTTGCTCTAGCCCCGTGTGGGTCAGGAACTGGACAGACCGGGTTTACTGGTACGCCTGTCTCATCCTTTGTCCTGCAGGAGTTCGGCCTGGCCAGGTTTAAAAGTAACCAGACTAAAGCCATGAGGGGTCTAGAGTTCGCCCTGACCAGGATCCAGAGTAAGACTTGTCCCAAACCTTCATGTCCCCCGCGCGTGGACAAATGTCAGTCTGTGCTTTTTATTTAAACTTCATAGACTTCCTCCATTATTAATGCCTTCAGATTCGTATTATCATCATTACTTCTGGTTTGACTTCATTAATCACCAGCTGAGGACGTTGTTTATTTTATTTAACACAAAAATAAACATATTTAACTTTTCATGTTTTTCTATAATAATCTTCACATCAAACTTCCTGTTCTCTCTAGCTGAAACTCCTCCCCATTTCCACAATGACCAGGAAGAACCACCAGACAAGAATAAGCCCCTCCCCCCACAGACCACACCCACCTCCAGCCAGACACCTAGGCAGTGTGTCTGAAGCCCCAACGTTAATAAAGATGGACCAGAATGGCTCAAGGCCCCTCCCCCCAGTCCCAATACTTACGCTGCACCCTACGGGCTTCGGTTGAGTGCACTTGGAGAAGGTGCGCTGTAAGGCTTTGAGTGAGTGGTACATTTTTCGAATTGAGCCAGGGAGCCGTACGTCATTAGCCCAAGTCTGCATCGATGCACCTGAGAATCGGGACATCCTACGCACTTGCACCTGGTCTGGATCGCGTAATTGGAGGGCACAAGTGGAAGTGTGAGTATTGGGATTGGGCCTTTGAAAGTCTGCTCTCTTCAGACGTTGGTTGTCTGAAAATTCTCCTACATAAACTGCAAACTGAAGGAGGCGGAGCATCAGGTCTAGCTCAGCCGTGATTGGTTACGTCCAGATGTCACTCATCACATGACAAAGTGGGAGTTTATTATCGTTTTGCCTGTTGGTTAAGGGTCTCTGTGGAATCTCCTGCTTGCTGAGTAGAATCAGGATTTAAGCAGATTATTATTTTAGATTTAGATTTTAGATTAAACTATGAAATTATTTTTGTGAGGATTAATATTTCAGATTGTGAAATCATCTAATTTAGAACAAGCACGTTCATTTATTTCAATCTATGTGGTTGCCAAGGTAAAATAACTGTTTCTGGGTTATTTGAGTCTATTTTCATGTCAGACAAAATAAAAACTTACAACTGTTGAAAATAATTCTGCTTTATTTGAGAAACATATTTACATTGACCAGTTACACTACATACAGTTAATGATGACATGTAACAGTTACACTAACGTGTAACTGTTACATGTCATCATTAACAGTTACACGTTACCAATGTAACATGTAACAGTTACATGTAACAGTCACACTAACGTGTAACTGCTACATGTCATCATTAACAGTTACACGTTACCAATGTAACATGTAACAGTTACATGTAACAGTCACGCTAACGTGTAACTGTTACACTAACGTGTAACTGTTACATGTCATCATTAACAGTTACACGTTACCAATGTAACATGTAACAGTTACATGTTACATGCAACATTAACATGTAACTGTTACATGTTAGTGTAACATGTAACAGTTACATGTTACATGCAACACTAACGTGTAACAGTTACATGTTACATGCAACATTAACATGTAACTGTTACATGTTAGTGTAACATGTAACTGTTACATGTAACACTAACATGTAACAGTTACATGTTAATGTAACATGTAACTGTTACATGTAACACTAGCGTGTAACTGTTACAGGTTACATGCAACATTAACGTGTAACATGTGACTGTTACATGTAACAGTTACATGTTACATGCAACATTAACATGTAACTGTTACATGTAACAGTGTTACACTAATGTGTAACATGTAACACTAATGTGTAACTGTTACACATGAATCTGGTTTAATCACATTAAGGAACGGGGAGGTGAAATCGTCATTTAGAGCATATCAAATATGCTCACGGATGTAAGCGACAGCCGCCATCAGCTGCCTGACAGGGCCTGAGGGTGAGAGAAGCGTGAAGAGCCAGTATTCACAGGTGGGTCGGCCCGGTCTAGCCCCGGTAGGGTAAATGTGTTCATCTGGGTAATCTTTCAGGTAGTTAACTCTTCATGTGGACCAGTCCACCTCGGTCTTGGTAACATCAACCTGGCTCTGCACGGCCAGGTTTTGTTTACAAATCATTCTCAGGAACACGGAAATCTCTAAGCACATGGGCGGGGCTAAAGGACCCGTGGTGACAATGGTGTCACCACCCGTTTCAAACATCTGCAAAATTGCTTCTTGAGTCAAATATTCAAGTTAGACAACCCAAAGTGACATTCTGTCCTAACCCTATCCTATAAAGTAAACTTGTTACTGATTGGCTTAATGACCTGACCTGCACTGGAATGTTTACTGTGTGACGGTCCTTGAGACGACTGGGCGTGATTTGGCGCTTTAGAAATAAACTGAATTAAGGAGGACACCACAGACTTCTGTGTGTCTTTTGTCCTGCCCACATGCTCGGAGACACCTGCATCCCTGTGAAGGATGTGTGAACAAAACCAGACCTCGCAGAGAAGGGACGACCCAACCAAGACCGGACCGAGTCGACCCAGAAGGGAATGTGCTCTAAATAAGACACTGTGTGGCTAAGCTGGGGTAGGAACATTCACACAACTCCTGCACAACAGCCCGTGTGACCCGGGAAGACCTCAAAACTCCCTCGGACTAACTCTGTGTGGCGGCTGGTGCAGAGTGGCTACGGTAGTTAAAGTCCCATAGTCATCCTCACACACTGGTGAAATTCACCTCTGCATTTGACCCGTCCCCATGGAGGCGAGCGGTGAGCTGCAGTGGTGGCTGCACTCGGGAACCATTTGGTGGTTTAACCCTTAAAGCTGAGTGTCAAGCAGGGAGGCATTTAAAGTCTTTGGTATGACCCAACCGAGAATCGAATCCCGATCTCCCAGTCCCAGGGCGGACACTCTACCACTAGGCCACCGAGCTGGTCTAGTTGACCCGGGAGCTCCAGGTAGCCCAGACGGCACAAATCAACTAGCACCATAGACAGACCATAAGCCACCACCCAGTCCTTGCACGTCTCTACATCCATCAGAGATCAGCACAATGTCAGAGCCGAGCTAACCAGCCCCTAAAATCTAAAAATAAACCTGGGAGTTCCAGGTTTCACATTTCCACTGGTTAGATCTCCTCTGCATTAACTACAGGCTCAGTAGAAGTGCCTGTTCTGTAAATGTACGCAGGTCCATTTGCGGTTCTGGTTCTGTTTCTAGGCTCCAACAAGCCCAATTTAGGCAAGAACAGGTTGGGTCAGATCTGGTACTCTCTCTCGGCGAAGAACTGGGCTCTGGCGATGACATCATTAGTAAAGTCTTGAGTTGGTGTCAGGCTGTCCAGGTCCAGCTCCTCAGTGGCAACTGCAAGAACTTTTTCAATCCCACTGATGTACCCGACCAGCGCTCCTAGAACAGAAGTAGGAGGTTATGACCGGATCAAGCCCGGAACAGCAAGTGTCCGGCGTGGTAAGGGGATTCGTTCCTGGTTTTCCCATAAACTCCTGCTGGGAACACAGGGCCCAACAATCATGGAGCCTAGTTCTAATCTCTCCTGAGCTTACGTTTGGCCCTGCTTTTATTATGAAAGGATCAAAGATCTGCCCTAGACCAGATCTGGGGTTGAAGCTGGACCGAATCACGGGTCAGCACTGGACCGGTGTTACAGCCAATCTGTGACCTAGCGTAATCTGTGACTGTAGGGTGCACTAATGGTCTTATAAATAAACAAGACATCCACAGACATCATATACAAAGGAACCCTGTGGACTGGCACTGCCAATTAGAGCTGGCGTAGCAGCTGGCCACCATCTTGGATGGGTCATTCGCACCCAGCACATTTACTTTTGCTGAGGAAGGTGTTCACCCACTAAAACCACATTTTACTAAGTTTTTTTCACAAAGTCAAACACAAAGTATGGCATGATAATTAAAAGATCAATGCAGTTAAACAAAATAAATAAAAAAAAAACTCCAACAGGTAGGCTAGAAAAGTTAATAGTAGTCCCACGTGATCGGTTTCAACAGTACACTGGTAGTTGTTGTTGTTGCCCCCCCCCCCCCCCCCCCCCAACCCGCTTAGACTCCAGTTGGGTTTGGAACGTCAGGAGCCCATCCAATATGGCGGCAACGCTATTTCGCTTTCCAGCACCCAATGGCGCAGTGGCGGCGCCAGGGGGGTGCTAGGGGGTGCTATAGCTACCCCTGGATTAGTCATTGCACCCCCAAGTAAATATTAGATGTTTTTTTTTTTTACAATTTAATTTTAATTTAACGTGTGGATGTGATAATTAACATACAAAACAAAAATCAGTAAATTATCATGTAGATAGTAAAAACTTAAACCAAAACAGGAAATTGATGTTAACCTTTGACCTCATTTTCCACCTGCGAACGAGTGAAAGGTAGAGCTAGTGGTAAACTGGATTTTTGTTGCCCAAATTTCCGCAGGTTCAGTCAGAAAGAAATGAATCTTTGGAAGTGATCTCAGACCCACAAAAACCTACGGATCTGGATGAAGAGAGTCAACCCTCAACCGCCACAGCAGTCGAGGGTTTTGCCGCTGGAAATGCAAACACTAACGTTAGCTAACCTTGCAACACTTAGATGGTTTTCTGTGTGGCTGTAAGTGTTTATGATTTCATGGAAAAGTCAGCGATTGTTCATGTTTATGATGTGTATTAATGATTGTTTCTGGTGTTGTTGAGGTGTTGTGCATGCATGTGTATCTGCTGGTGTTGAAGGTGTTCTAGGGAACAATAGGTACGCATGACCACTTCCTTCAGAGCACCCTCAATAAAAAAACTAACTACTTCATAGCACCTGCAGAAAAACATTTCTGGAGCCGCCACTGCAATGGCACGTCTACTTATTTATGTTTATGGTTTCAGCTGAGATTTTGGGCTTAATGGTGTTTTCTAGCTTTTGCTTACATTGCAGCGACTGAAAACTTTATTTTGTAAAACCATATCTGCTGAACAGGTCGCAGGTGCTTTGTTGGACATTCCAATTGTCTTTTTCCTTTACTTTTTTCCTCCTGTGACCTTTGAGCAGTCATTTATTTAACACCCTCCAGGAGAAAATATCACAGCTCATTTATTACAGGTAGAAAACTGCTGGAGCAGTCGCTACGCAGCTTACACAAGTGCTCTTTCTGTCTCACACCTAGGAAAGGAGAAATACTCATTAGCGCCCCCCAGAACTGAACCGGACCTGAACTGAACCAGATCTGGGATCTGAACTGAACTGGATCAGGGATCTCAAATGGACTTGGATCAGGGGTCTAAAATGAATCGGATCTGGGATCTGAACTGAACCGGATCAGGGATCTGAACTGGACTGGGTCAGCGATCTGAACTGAACCGGATCAGGGATCTGAACTGAACCGGATCAGCGATCTGAACAGGACCAGATCTGGGATCTGAACTGAACCGGATCAGGGATCTGAACAGGACCAGATCTGGGATCTGAACTGAACCGGATCAGGGATCTAAACTGAACCGGATAAGGGATCTAAACTGAACCGGATAAGGGATCTAAACTGAACCGGATCAGGGATCTGAAGTGAACCGGATCAGGGATCTAAACTGAACCGGATAAGGGATCTAAACTGAACCGGATCAGGGATCTGAAGTGAACCGGATCAGGGATCTAAACTGAACCGGATCAGGGATCTGAACTGAACCGGATCAGGGATCTGAACTGGACCAGATCTGGGGGTTTATGATTTTTACCTTTCAGCTGCCGCTCCAGCGTCCAATCTGATTTCTGCTGTGTCATGGTCTTGATGAGGTGGATTAGGTATGTGGTTCCTGAATCGATGTGAACTTTGCTGAAAGGTTCTCCCTTCAGGACATGAAAGTTCTTACTGATCTGCAGCAACAGAACAGGAAGTGAGCTGGAACCACTCAGGCCTCTAACAGCTGACAGGCACCTGACCCACCTGCATGAGCCCAAAGGCGTTTGGGTCGTGCTTCCCGTAGCCGTCTTCTTTCAGCTCCTCCCCAGCCCTGGACTGTCTGGAAATGATGGCAGCGATGAGGGCGGGGTGGAAGTGGAGCCTGCAGGAGAAGAGCATCAGTACCAGGAACAGCAGTTTGCGCCGACCCAGTTACTACTTCAGGAACGTACTCTCGTCCCACGTCCAGGATGTCATTTTTATACGGGGACAAGCGCTGCAGGTCCTGCTCTGCCAACCTTCTAGACATTTCCACGCTGCTCTGCCATCCGGTCTCACGGTTGGAGGCTCCCTTTGCTGTCATCTGGCTCAGCGTTCTGTATTCTGAAAAACAAGGTGGGTTCTGCTCTGACACACCTAGCCTCGTCCCAGACACAAGCTGAGATTTTCTGCTCGGACCATCTAAAGCCTTCCAGGTGAAGATAAACCGGATCAGTCTGTGTTTATGTCCTCTAGAACCCGCCCGGGATCAGCAGAACATGGTTCTTACCTGTTAGTTCCCCGGGTTTGTCTGAGGTCGAAATGTCTGCAGACAGAACAGAGACACAAGTGAGTCCCAGAAGGTCTGAGATGTTGGACGAGGAACAGAGCCAGACTCACCTTGGAAGCCCTCTTCCATCCGGCTGCACATCCTGCAGAGAAACTCAGAAATCTGGTGCGCAGCCTTGGTCCTGACGTTCCACGGGCAGATGAAAAGGCAGAGTCCCACAGCACCGAACACAATCAGGACCAACAGGAAGACCAGAGAACCTCCGGGAGCTGCTGCGGCTCTGAAGTCATCTGGAGGGACACCGTTGTTAAAGGATGAAGGACCAAACTCTTGGTTGTTGTGGTGATCCAGATGTTTCACCTGTGATCCAGATCTTGGTCTCCTTCACCAGCTTCACCTCAGAGACCTCTGCTCTGCAGACCAACACCACGTCCTCCGTCTGTTCGTCTGGAACCGACAGAAGCGGGGACAGGCCTGATCAGAGAACTCGGGGAAGAGGACCTTAGCCTCTCTGACATGGAGCAGAACGGCTGCTGTCATAGTAAACAGTTGCTGGTTGTAGATCATGTCCCTCAGGTCCCTGAAGTGATCCTACCTTGACCCCCGTGTCCTGGGGGTCAAGGACACCTCTCTTTCTGTGGTTGTGTCCCAGCTGCTGTGAATCATGCTGTAGTCCAACCTCTCCATATAAAGAGCCACTTAGATCCTAACCTTCTGTCAAACTTCAGGCCCGGTCTTTTGCTTCAAAGGCTTTAGAGAAGGTGGTTTATCTCCAACTTCAGGATAGTCTCTGGATTTATGGGGTACTGAAAAGCTCAGTCTGGTTTTAAAAAGGGGCACCGCACTGAGACAGCACTTCTACAGGTCTCCAATGATCTGCTTTTAACTGCAGACTCAGGAGCGTCTGACCTGTCATCGGACCTGGCTGCTGCTTTTGACTCTGTGGGTCACTCTGGTTCTGACAGACGTTTGTCTGACTGGGGGCTGCTCTTCATTTGAGGCCCCTTTGAGCTGTGGGGTTCCTCAGGGCTCCATCTTGGGACCTATACTTTTCTCACTCTCTACGATTCCTTTGGGGCAACCCTTGGTAGTACGGTCTGTCCTTCCACTGCTTTACAGATGATCTACAATTTTCCCTCCCATCGAGAAGGAGTGGGACTCATTCAGTGCAAAATCCGGTCATCTGGTCTGGATTACTGACAGTGAAGCTTGAATGGGGTTGGATTTCTTAACACTGAGATGATGATGATGGTGATTATTGCTCTAACAAGCTCCAGACGGGCCTAGGGTAACTCTTTCTAGGCTGGGTTAGACACCTCTCTCGTCTACAGCTCGTCTAGAATGCTGCTGCCCGTATGCTCACAGGTAGCAAACCACACGACCACATCAACCCCCTCCTGTCCTCCTTACAGCAGCTACCTGTATGTCTTAGGACTGATGTTAAAGAGCAAATTCCAGGTAAAAGTTTTTTTTTATAATTAATGTCAAATGCTGTCTATATAAAAAGCTTATTGTGGAGTTTTGGTTGTAAAATCCACAACAGCAGTTTTCTAGTAAAAAGTTCCTTTCTCTTGTTTCTGAATCTGAACCTCTGACGTAACCAAAGGGAGTCAGAAGCTAGTTGCTGCCTCAGCTCAATGTGGAGAGTGGCTAGTTTTAGGGTAGAGGTCACGTGATCCAGTCAGTGTGTGTGTTTACTAGTGTAGGACTGTGTTCATGCTGATAAACTAGAGTGTGTGAAGGCTGTACCGACTCCAGCCTCTCTGGACATCGAGTCCCCGGGTTTCCAGACAAGAGGAGCAACGCCTCTATCTCCGTGCCGGAGAGAGTTTTGTGCAGCTGAAAAGACGGTCTTCTGTAGCCCGCATCAGTCGGTACCAGGTCAGGGAGGTCCGCGCTGGGGTCCGGAGACCCGTAGCGGGGTTTAAAAAGTTAAATGAGAATTTCTAGAGCTCAGATCACCGCACCAGGGGAGGATGCGTGGCTTTTAAAAACACCAGCTGGACTGGCTCGCTGGTGTCTGGGTCGGATCCAGCTCACAGAAGCCCGCATGAGCTCCAGAACCGGACGACAGGTGTCTCTCCAAGCTAAACTAGGTTAGGTGAACGGATATCAACAAGTATGAGACCGCTGACAGACGCTCATTAGTATTAATATTATATTAACTGACCGATACTATTTTAATTGTCTGGTACGTGGCAGTGATCTGTACTATAGTGTAATGTTAGCACACGAGTTTAAGCTAGCATGGTTAACTCACCTGCTACCCCCCCACTGCTTCTCCTCTCATGGTTTCTCCCTCTGGTTGGTCTCTGCTCTCTGGGGCAGCAAACTCATTACTTTATGGTTCTGGTCCATCAGAATTATAAACATTTATAGTTAGCTCTGTGTCAGAGGCGCAGCAGAGTCCATGTTTTCATCTGCATTAAGCTAACAGGACTCCCTCGGCTGACGTCACTTGGTTTGGCAAAAAAAAAAAAAAAAAAAACATTTTCTCACAAAAATGACTCTAAAAGCCTAAATAATTTATGTTTGTGTAAAAATGTTTAAAACGAGTTTCTATTATGTTTCTCTAAACATGGAAGTCTCCGACCTGCTGTTGTCTCTTTACGGTATTACTCTGTTTTTTACACACTTAAGTGGTCACTCACCTCCGTACCCATCGGACCTCCTACAGGTATGTTCCTAGGAGAGCTTTGCCATACGAATAGCTGATATGTAGCCAAATACAAATGTAGCCACTGGTAGGGACTGAGATGGTAAAAAGGTAAATGGCCTGTATTTGATACACGCCTTGTGGCGTTCTAAAACCCCCCAAGGGGCTTTACAACACAACCAGTCATTCACACCCTGATGATGTCTGTAGCCGCAGCTGCCCTGGGGCACACTGGCAGAGGAGAGGCTCTCTAGCACTGGCGCCCCCGATCCCGCCGACCACCACCAAGACACGTGCCCAAGGACAACTGTAGCAGATGGGGCTCAAACCCACAACCCTCCTCTGCCACCGGAGCCCTAAGTGCACACGCTGAGGAAAGTCGTCAAGCTGCATCTTCTTTGCACGATTGTAAAGGAGGCGTTTGGAATGAAGACGCTGGTCAGACAGACCCGGTTTGGGTTTAAGGAGTCGGATGTTGAGCAGAACCTCTAGCTAGTAACCTCAGGACGGATGACGGTGTGGACAACGCTGAAGGCCCCGCAGGAAGGCCTGATCGTCAGGAAACATGCTGATGATCCTCCTCACACCCTTACCTTCAGCCACTCTCACCACCGCCGTGTGGAGGCCGTCAGGGACTTCCTGCATCCCAGTCTTGTTGGCGAGGACGTTGCCCTGGACGTCCCGTATGGAGACGTCCAACTTCCGTCCCCAGCTGCTGCCCTCACACTCCAACACCAGCCCTCTGGTGGGGCTACGATGGATCTTCACGGAAACGTCCGACAGCTGGACTGCACAGACAAACACCCGTTACCATGGCAACAGCAAACAAGATTCGATCTGTCGGGTGTCCCAGTTCACATATGTTACAGAGACTCGTCCTGGACAGGTCCCAGAACAGTCCTGGGCGGGTCTACTGACTGGTTCTGGACTGGTTCCAGACTCAGGTTATGTGTTAAAGTGACACTAAGCAGTTTTTCAGCGTGGACCTTTATCCTCTGTGGTTTAGTAGGACGTGGTTCACGCGTTAGCTCGTTGCTAGTGCTAGCTCCAGCAGGCTAATGGAGCTAGCGCTAGCTCCAGCAGGCTAATGGAGCTAGCGCTAGCTCCAGCAGGCTGCTGAGCGTTGTTTATGACCGTAATTCCACTTTCAACCAGAGGACGGAGAAGGTGGAAACCGTTTAGCATCACTTTAACACACCTTTATGCACCTGATCAGCTGCTCCTGACGGATCTGTGACCTCTGACCTCCTAAAGCACTAACGCAACATCAAAGATCTTACCGACAATCAGAGAGACTTTCGCTTCCTGGAAAGTCCTGGTGATTCCTGTCCTGAAGACACACCTGGGTCAGAACCACAAGCCAGAAAGGTTATTCTGAAGTTTCACGGTGGGAGAAATAAATAAATAAACAACCGGGGGGGGTGGGGGGGGCTCCCTCACCGGTACTCTCCGGTGTCGTTTTGGTGGACGTGCTGCAGCGTCAGAGACCCGTCCTCCTTCAGGAACGTCCTGTCCTTGTACTCAGGGGTCTGGTCCTCCATCAGCTGCTTTCCATCCAGAAAAGCATGGAGCGACAACCTGGCTGAGCCCCGCAGGTGTAGCCACTCCAGCACCGTGACTTCCGATAGGCTGACAGCACACGGCAGCACAGCGTTGGCACGAACAGCTGCAAACACCTGGGTGGGCTCCAGAGGTCTGCCTGCAGGTGAGACGCAGGTCAAAGACATGAGAACACAAGAACGTGCCGGATGGAGAACTGGAGCTGAAGACACGCATGGTGTTATCTGTCAGAGATAACAGCTGATCCATCACCATGACAACAGGTGTCTGAAAAAGGGGCCGGGTCAGGGGGTCTGGACTGGGCCAGGGTTAGCGGTCAATAGCTTCATAAGAGAACAGTCAGTTTAAAGACAACAGCTGTACTCGAGATGAGCCAGTTCTGCACAGATTAGACCAGCGGTGAGCGGCGAGCAGCGCATGCCGGTTAGATTTGTGTCCGACTTGCTCTGTCGTCATGCATACGTAGGCAACGATAACCTCGTGAGATCAAGGCGGCCGCAGATTTTGGAGCAAGGCGCTGCAGTTGCTCTCCCTCGGCTGCAAAACCTAGAGGATGATGGGAAACGCCTGGCTCTCACCTGATCTAAGATCTGATTGGTTCATATTCTGATCCAAACATCCGGTGGTAGAACATGAAATGTTAGTTGGTCACATGTATTCTGTAAATCATGTTATGTTGATGATGACAACTATATAGGCCATAAGGAGAAATGTGTTTTGTGTTCTTTTGTCACGTTTCCTATGAGCACACTGAAGCTACAGCTGATAACCTTTACTTATTATTACAGTCATGTCTCCATATACAATATATGATATCCACAAGCACGTGAGGATGGGTTTCAGCTGCTAACAGGCACCAGAATTAAAATAAATAATTAAACAAGTATCAACGCTAACGCAATATTACGAGGCTGGCTGAAGTTAGCTTCCGATTCGGGGAAACGGCTAAAGGGCCATTACACCCAGTTTTTCTCTACTCTGACCATCTTTCATCTGCTCTAGCTCAAAAACCACAACAGCCACACTGTTCAGACCTGTTCTAGATTATTCTACTATAATAGCAGATTGCATACAACCTTGTTTGGGATTTGTGAAACCTTTCCCTGATTTGTGAACCTTCAACACAGTTTGAGAGGAGTACATGCTATCCTGGGATTATTGATTTGCTTCATGTGATCCACTTTTATTTTAGACTATCTTTCATCCCTTTTACTAATGAATAAAGACCACTATAGTGGCAAGAAATATTGTAGATTCAAGAAATATTTTAAGAAGGTCCAGTTGTGATCCCACAGATGCTAGATCAGGGTAGGAATAGGCAAGGTGAACCAGAGTCTGAAATTAGGACAAATGTCAGTGGAAAATGAGTGAATATATGTTATTTTGAAGCACGATAAATCTTGAAAAAACTTTTTTCTAATGAACCGTTTCATGTAACACAGGCATCAGTAAAAGCACTCGACAAGGTCTAAGGGCTAACCAGGCCTGAGGCAGTGGAAAAGAGTGAGCATGGTGACGTGGATGAGAGGTAAGACATTCTGAGTCTGAAAGATATCTGCAAGAAAAAGATTTTTTGTATGTCTTTGGGAATGGAGAAATGTATAATACCTGAAAATTTCTTTTTTTTTTTTTTTGCAGCGAAAAAGCGGAACTTCTCATTAAACTGAAACCAGAAATGGAGAGACGTTCAATTATCTGAAGTTCTCTGGAATGTGGGAGGATAAAAAAGTTTGAGGCTGAATATTTCTGCTTGTTTTTAATTAAGACACGCAAACATCAAAAAATAGAATCTGTGTTGAAGGTTCACAAATCAGGGAAAGGTTTCACAAATCCCAAACAAGGTTGTATGCAATCTGCTATTATAGTAGAATAATCTAGAACAGGTCTGAACAATGTGGCTGTTGTAGTTTTTGAGCTAGAGCAGATTAAAGACGGTCAGAGTAGAGAAAAACTGGGTGTAATGGCCCTTTAGCCGTTTCCTGAATCGGAAGCGAACTTCAGCCATCGTCACCCCAGAGCCACATATGTAGGGAAATCTGTCCGACTCAACGCCGACTTTCAGCCACGCCCCCTGCTGCTTCCGTCTGCTCTCGTCTGTTTTCCAGGCGAGGCGCAGCTCAACTCGAACAAGACCGTTGTCTGTAATTCGGCGCATTGAGACCCAGAACAAATGGTTCGGTTAAACAGTAATGGAGTCTTTCATTCACATCTGCAGCAGAAACGCGGCTTTACTGGCAGCTGAAAGGCTCGCAGACCAAACCGGAGTGTCGCGATCACCACGTGGGTGACGTCATAACAACAAACATCAGACAGAGGCTACTCACCTTCCGCCAGAAGAAGCAGGTAACTGAGGACGCAGAGACAGAACTCGCTCTGCGTCATTCTGACCCTGCTGCGTCACAGCACCGGCCACAAACACGGACGCAGGAGAGGTTCCTAGTGGACCCTCAGAACTTCACGAGTCATCTAACATCCGAACAGGAAGAAACCCGCCGAAGACAGCAGCGCCGCCCTACGTTACTACGGCAGTACGGATGACGCAACGTCAAAGTCAGGCCGATCTACTTTCGGACCATAGCGCGAGCCGCTGGGCGCTGGAGGGCATAACCGCGTGGCCGCCATATTGGATGGGTCTCCTCGCTCTCCAAAGTCAATGCACAGCGAGTAAATGCCCGTTTCTGTGCAGCAACAACTGAAAACAGATCACGTGGCTAGCCTACCGGATAGGATTTTATATTAAAATTTATTTTATTTATTTGGTTTAATTACATTTGTATTTTAATTATCCTTCCACACTTTGTGTCTGACTTTGTGAAAAAGCTTGATAAAATGTACTTTATAGTTGGGTAAGCATCTTCCTCAGTGGAAATGAATGTCCTGGGATTACTATGCCTCTTCTAGCCTACCTGATTAAAGAACTGGTTCCAGCTGTAGCATTATTATAGCAATGACCTATTTAAGGGAAGCCTCCATCATCATGGCGGGGGTGTCAGGTATTTATGTGAGCAAGGATAATTAAAAGAATAATCAGATTTTCCAGCTTTTAAGTATCAATCAGCCCAAGTCCACGTGTGTACGTGTTTCAGGAGGAGGTGTTGCACCGCTAGAGGACAGGCTGGGGGAGGGTTGCAGTCCTGATGAGGAATCACTCAACTGTTGCTTCTGCACAGGTGTAGCCGCTCTTGTTCATGAGTGCTGTCTGATCTTTAGCCAGACTCACTTCCTGCACCCCCACCCACCCACACACACACACACACACACACACACACACACACACACACGCACGCACATGCACGCACATACACACACACACACACACACACACTTCTAGCTGTGCAACACCTTGTCATCCTGACACGTGCCGCACACATAGATTGTTTCATCCTGTTAATCATTAGACTCTGAGTGCTTGATGAAGCTTTCTATAATAACAATTATATTACTACTACCACTAATAGTAATAATAGAAATATATATTTATAAAAACGTTTTTATGTATACTTATGCAGCTTGAAAATTTAAAAACTGCCTTTTATTTTCAAGCTGCAGAGAAGCAACATCTAAACTGAAGCTGGATCAGAAGCGTTTTATTACATTTTATATAAAGATAAAAAGTCCTGCATGCTGCTAAACCTCTGATGGAGAGGGCTTGGATTTCCTCTGAAGGGCTGCGTCTGCATTTCTGTAACTACATAATGACGTCTCGAGCTCAGTGAAAGACTATTATTATTATTATCATTATTATTATTATTATTATTATTATTATGATGATGATGATTAGTATTATCATTACTATATTATTATTATTATTTTATTATTATTATTATGATCGTTAATATTATTATTATTATCATTATATTTTATTATTATTGTGATTAGTATTATCATTAATATTATTATTATTTATTATTATCATTATTGTTATTATTATTTTTATCGTTATTTTTATTTTTATAATAATAATAATAATTATTATTATTATCATAATTATTATTTTTTATTATAATTATTGTGATTATTATTACTACTACTACTATTAGTATTTTATTATTATTATGTTATTGTTATTATTACTATGTTGTTGTTGTTGTTATTAAGAAGAAGAAGAAGAAGAAGAAGAAGAAGAAGAAGAACTTTGTTGGGTAACTTCGGAAGTTCCTTCTACAGTGAACTACACTCATACACAGAAACCACCTGAGCTGTGTATTTAAACACGTTTCACACTTTAATTCTGTCGCTGCAGACAACTTTGGAGCTTTTAAGCTGTTTCTGTCAGGCATAAAGTCACGTGTTTTCTCTTGTTGCTAGGAGCAGCAGCCTCCCTCAGCAGGCGCTCTGATTGGTCAGCGATCCGCAGCCAGGGCCAATCAGAGCGCAGTGCGTCCGTGATGAGAATCCATGATCTCTGCGTTGGTGCTGCGACCTCCCGTCACCAGCCACTCGTTAGCGGGTCCGACTGGCCCAGACCCAGTTCCCGAACCTGGACCTGTTTCCTGGAGGTTCGAGATGAGTCCATCCATGGGTTCGGTTGTCAGAACAGAGCCCAGTCTCATCCGGTCCGCGCGCTGGTTCTACTGCAGGGCTGCTGTCAGGTCCACAAATAAACACCTACCTACTTCCTGTTTAGCTTCAGCCGTTAATTCTTACAAAATAAAAGCGTTTCAGGTTTTTTTGTGTTAAAGTGATATATGACCACATAAAACCCCGTACTTTCAGCCACTCTTTACTTATTTTAAAGGACAAATGTCCGTTTTTGACTATTTGAAGTAAAATATGTGCAAACATCTCACACTCTCAGTAGAAATATTCTTGTATGTAAAAGCATTTCAGGGTCTGACCAGGATCCAGAGGGAGACTTCCCAACCGTCGTGTCCCCCGAACATGGACACATGTCAGCATGTCTCTCAGTCTGCAGTTTCTTTTTAAACTTCCTCCATTATTAATTAGCTAACTGAGTTATTTAATTAGGACAGTGCATGTTAACGAACATGAGCGTTAATGCTTTCAGATTATTATGATTGTCCTCTCTTTACTTCTGTTTTTACTTCATATAACAGTAGCTTGTGGTATAACCAGCTGAGGATGTTTTAGACTGAAATATAAATCATCAGAAATATTTTATTTCATTTAACATAAACCTAAACATCATATTTATTTCACATTTACGTCTTCAAACTTCTTGTTCTCTCCTCCAGCTGAAGCTTCTCCCCATGTCCATGATGAGCAGGAGGAGCCTCCGGACAAGCATAAGCCCCTCCCCCCTTAGAGCACACCCACCTCCAGCCAGAAACGTAGGCCCAATCCCAATATTGGCACTTCCACCTGACCAGAGGTACGAGAGCGCAGGGTGTCCCGATTTTCAGGTGTGGAAGTCAGTCACGCCCCTTTTGCACCCTTGATCCACACTTCATCTCAGTCCGCAGACGCCATTTTGACTACAGCTAAACAACCACTGCGTCGCGCGGTACAGTTGGCATTTCCGTCTTTTTTCTGATTGGTTATTTTGAGCTGCCTAGTCTCGCCCCTAAAGTGCCTCTCTGCCTGTGAGTTACCAGACTCTCTCTCTCTGTGCAGAATTAACCAGAGGACGAGTCTGGCAGGCCAGGCTAGTTCGTTTTAGGATGATTAGTTGGTGCTCTAAAACTTTTAGTCAAAGCAGCAATGAATGTAAAAATATTTCAAATAATTGTTTGATTGTTTGAAAGTTGTTGATAAAGTTTTTTTTGTAGCACAGCGACCAGAATCCCAGCATGCATGATGACACAATGCACCCCGTCTCAATTAGGCAATTATTTGAACACCTGTGTTCCACGCACTCAAAGCGAGGGTGAGTATTGGGATTGGGCCCTAGACAGTTTGTCTGAAGTGCAAACATTAATAAAGATAGACCAGGGTGGCTCAAGGCCCCGCCCACCTACCTGACTAGAGTTCCCCCCCCCCCCCCCCCCCCCCCCCCAGTCCCAATACTTACACTGTGCACTGGGCCAGCTGGACATGAAATATGTTTCAGTATAACCTTCCTTCCTAAATTACACTCTTGAAGGATTTTCTCACTGTAAAATGCACACTATATTCTTACATACTGCACCTTTAAAGGACAAATGTCAGTTTTTGACTATTATATTTATTTCAAAGTAAAATATGTGTGAACTTCTGACAATCTTCTCAGTAAAATATTATTTTAATTAAAAGCATTTCGCCTCTTAAAACATCCTTTCTGCTCTGAGACGTATGAAAGGGGTTCCGTGTGCTCTTCCCCTCTTATCACGTATTGATTTGAAAATAATTTTGAGATTCTGTAAATGTGATGTTTTGCTTTGCAGTTGTGAGCAGCAGTTTTAAGGCTTTTAAAGCTCGCTGAATGGAGTTTTCCGCTCGCTGCCCGTAATGATTCGGTGATCTTCACACAGGCTTTTACTTTGAAAGTGTCGGTGGGCCTTCGGCGGAAGTGGCTTGTGTCGCGCGCAGCTAGCTTGTTGTGCTGCAGGCGCTGATGGCGGCGGGATTCGCGGAGGGTCGTACCAAAGAGGGAGAGCGAGGAGGCGGGGGAGCGGAGCCACGGCGGTACCGAGCACTGACACCCCGCTGGTCACCGAGCAGAGCAGCCGCGAGGCCAGCAGTCCGACCCCGAGGCGACGGATGAAGCGGTACCGTGCTTTTGTTGTCAGCTACCGGGGGGGGGGGGGGGGGGGGGGGGGGGGGGGCGCTAACGGCGGGTAGGGGGACCGTCTGCGGGCCGGCCAGCGCAGCTCCCCTCCACACAAGGTCCGTGCGGGTTTTTAAAACATTTATACGGTAACGGAATTTCGGTTTCCTCCCCGAGAGCCTTTATGTGCGCGTGTGTTGCGTTCACGTGTCGTCGGTCTGTTTACCAGCCTGTATAGGTGTGTATGTGTGCGCGCGGGCCGTGCGTGTGTGTGTGCAGCACTGCAGCAGCATGCAGAACTTGGCCCGTTGAGGAACTCTCAGACCCCTGTGTGTGTGTGTGTGTGTGTGTGTGTGTGTGTGTGTGTGTGTGTGTGTGTGTGTGTGTGTGTGTGTGTGTGTGTGTGTGTGTGTAAGCCCGTTTGTGTGGACATTCCTGCACACTGGGGACATTTACATCCTGGTCATTCAGCTTGCTGGACCTCTGAGGGACAGTCCTGTCTGCAACAGTTCTGGTCGGGTTCTTCTGGACTTTTCTGATCCAGCACGCCTTCGTGTGAACTTTTTATTATCAGCAGCTTTCTGGAGGATTTCAAAAGCTCATCTGTGGCCTTTTGACTGATTTCACACCCACAGACGGACCGATAATTTCTAATTGAAAGTGCACAATCAGGAAGTCTGCTTTTACTTTGAAAGAGTCCCAGCCTCATCTCCACGATGGCTGTTTCTCGCCAACGCTAATCTTCACGTCTTCTTTGTGATTTCATCCTTTAGTAAAATCTGTAAACATCCAAACTTTTCTGGCACTTTTATGCTGAAGGATTTTCTTTTTCACAGATATCTGAACCGGATGCTTTCATTCTTGTAATTTCCTACTGAAGATTTGAACCTTTTCCTGCTGATTTAAGACTCGCGCTCACCAGAGGCCATCCACTTTCGTTACACAAATATAAACGATATTTTCTGTCATTACTCTCTCAGCGATGTCATGACTTAACCCATGATAGCTGCAGCTGGTAGTTGTGCGTCTAGAGCTGCAGCTGTTGTGAGTTCTGGTTCTGTTGACCCACTAAGACCCGATGCAGCACATGACTGGTCCTGAACCTTTATGATGACAGCTCACATGTTAGCTGTGAGGAGAGCAGGATGTTACATTTATTTATCATAGTGGCAGTGAATTCTTCAGTTAATAAACACGTGTTATTTATGGCACCCCATACATGTGTGTGTGTGTGTGCATTCATCTTTGTGTGTGTGTGTGTGTGCGTGCATGTTTGTTTGTGTGTGTGGTTGCGTGCATGTTAGTGTGTGTGTGTGCGTGCATGTCAGTGTGTTAGTGTGTGTGTGCGGTGCGTGCATGTGAGTGTGTGTGCGTGCATGTTAGTGTGTGTGTGCGTGCGTGCATGTTAGTGTGTGTGTGTGCGTGCGTGCGTGCATGTGAGTGTGTGTGTGCGAGTGCATGTCAGTGTGTTAGTGTGTGTGCGCGCGCATGTGTGTGCATGCACGTGTGTGTGTGCGTGTGAGTGTGTTTGTGCATGGGTGTTTGTGTGTGTGCGTGCATGTATGTGTGTGTGTGTGCGTGCATATGCGTGTGTGTGTGCGTGTGCGCTCGTGCGTGTGTGTGTGTGTGTGCATATGCCTGTGTGTGGGGGGGGGACAGAGGGGCAGCTTTGTGTCTGCAGAGGCTGGACTTGGTGCAGCGCTGCATATCAAACAGGCCTGTAGTTTTAGCTGTATGTTGTTGTTGTTTATCAATAAACAATTGTTTTTTTTGTCTCTCTGCAGTTGGGAGCCTCCTATTGGCTGTCGTCCCGTACTGCCCCCCCAGCTCGTCCTGTTTCAGCAGCATTCATAGTATTTAGTTGTAGCATCACTGGCGTCTGAGGAGCTCCGGGTGTGAGAATGACCATGACCCTGCCAGGCTAGCAAGTTCTTGATCTCTACAGTCACCTAGCAACAGCATCCCAGCTGAACATGTAGATTACTAAGAGCTGTTGTCAGAGAGTGGCTAGCGACTAGCCTGTTGGAGCTGCTCTGCCCTGAGTTGAACTTCATCAGAAGACCAACTTCTCCAAGATGTAGGCAGCCCAAGGCCTGGATCCACGCTTTCAGCAGCTAACGGCTAGTTAGCAGCTCCTGGTCAGCAGGAGACGGTGGCTGGTGGTTGAGGGTGGGTAGAGCGGGGGTGTGATGGAGTACCACTCCGGTGGCAGCCTGCCCCTGCTGGGGAGACCGCGGTACTGCCCTGGGGCCAGCGCCAACGGAGGCTACCTGTGTGAGACGGGACACTGCTGCGGAGAGACCGGCTGCTGCACCTACTACTACGAGCTGTGGTGTGAGTGTCCCCCCTGCTGCACCACGTAGTTTACATATTTGTAGTTTACACATGTGTAATTTACGCATACGTGGCTTGCATATAAGTGTTTTACATATATGTGGTTTACACATATGTAGGTTACACATACATTGTTTACATATATGTAGTTTACACATACATGGTTTACATATACATGGTTTACATATATGTAGTTTACACATACATGGTTTACATATACGTGGTTTACATATATGTAGTTTACACATACATGGTTTACATATACATAGTTTACATATACATGGTTTACATATACGTGGTTTACATATATGTAGTTTACACATACATGGTTTACATATACGTGGTTTACATATATGTAGTTTACACATACATGGTTTACATATACATAGTTTACACATACATGGTTTACATATACGCGGTTTACATATATGTAGTTTACACATACATGGTTTACATATACGTGGTTTACATATATGTAGTTTACACATACATGGTTTACATATACGTGGTTTACATATATGTAGTTTACACATACATGGTTTACATATACATAGTTTACATATACATGGTTTACATATACGTGGTTTACATATATGTAGTTTACACATACATGGTTTACATATACGTGGTTTACATATATGTAGTTTACACATACATAGTTTACATATACATAGTTTACATATACATGGTTTACATATACGTGGTTTACATATATGTAGTTTACACATACATAGTTTACATATACATGGTTTACATATACGTGGTTTACATATATGTAGTTTACACATACATAGTTTACACATACATGGTTTACATATATGTAGTTTACACATACATAGTTTACATATACATGGCTTACATATATGTAATTTACACATACATAGTTTACATATACGTGGTTTACATATATGTAGTTTACACATACATAGTTTACATATACATAGTTTACATATACGTGGTTTACATATATGTAGTTTACACATACATAGTTTACATATACATAGTTTACATATACGTGGTTTACATATATGTAGTTTACACATACATAGTTTACATATACATAGTTTACATATACGTGGTTTACATATATGTAGTTTACACATACATAGTTTACACATACGTGGTTTACATATATGTAGTTTACACATACATAGTTTACACATACGTGGTTTACATATATGTAGTTTACACATACATAGTTTACATATACATAGTTTACATATACGTGGTTTACATATATGTAGTTTACACATACATAGTTTACATATACATAGTTTACATATACGTGGTTTACATATATGTAGTTTACACATACATAGTTTACACATACGTGGTTTACATATATGTAGTTTACACATACATAGTTTACACATACGTGGTTTACATATATGTAGTCTACACATACATAGTTTACACATACGTGGTTTACATATATGTAGTCTACACATACATAGTTTACACATACGTGGTTTACATATATGTAGTTTACACATACATAGTTTACATATACATGGCTTACTTATATGTAATTTACACATACATAGTTTACATATACATAGTTTACATATACGTGGTTTACATATATGTAGTTTACACATACATAGTTTACATATACATAGTTTACATATACGTGGTTTACATATATGTAGTTTACACATACATAGTTTACATATACATAGTTTACATTTACGTGGTTTACATATATGTAGTTTACACATACATAGTTTACACATACATAGTTTACATATACGTGGTTTACATATATGTAGTTTACACATACATAGTTTACATATACATAGTTTACATATACATGGTTTACATTAGGGCCTGACCGATATGCTATTTTTGGGACCGACACCGATATAAAACTTTTAACAAAGGCCGATAGCCGATATAATGGCCGATAAATCTCCCTCACAAAAAATAAATAAATAAAAATAAAAAAATTTCTTAAAGGGACATTATGGAAGTTTGACAGCCAAAACATGTATAGAAATAATAAATGTCTTCTTCATACATTCTCCTGCAATGCCCTGGTCCTGTAGAATGAGTCCTGGCATTTTTACTGTGATTGCCTGTTTTTCTGTAAAATCACAGAAAAAGAGAGATGCTCGGGTCGAGCAGGCTGCTTCATGCGCGTTCACGCTCAGGCATAGCCCTCCGAACCATTCTTTGAACGTTGTTTCAGCTGTGATCTAGGATATAAATGTTACAGATACAAATGACATCACTGGTGCTATAGCATGCCTGGTAAGACGTCGGACTCTCATGCGGAAGACCCGGGTTTGATTCTGGGTGTGTACATAGTTTATTTAGATGGTTTTTTTTACATTAATGGTATATTTTTTTTACAGTAAGATGCCCAAATTTTCATGTGAGACGCGCCGAATGGCATTGAATTCACAGATAAAAAAGATGTGGGTTCAACTTTCATTTTGGAACAATTTTTCAAGCAAGGGAAGGGAATGATCTGAGCATGCAGGAGGACTGACCCATCATAAACCGTTGTCGGCTGTGCTGAAGAGAAAGCTACAGAACCACATTATTTAATTAATTAGCTGCGCGTTCTCGTGTCCTCTGTCCTCCGGGCCACCCACCCACCCACACACACACACACACACACACGCACGCACACACACACACACACACACACACACACACGCACACACACGCACATACAGACACAAGGGACTGTCTCAGCTGTTATTTTCGTTAAGGAGTGTGCACGTACAGCATGCGCGCCTCGTGCACGAGCCTACTATTGAAGCTGCCGTTACGCTCTTGGCCTGAGGGGGCAATCACGAGCATAAAAATTCAAAACTCCGTAAAGTCCCTTTAAGCTGCTAAGGTTTTCTCATTTAGTATTCAAGTCTTATTTTTTTCCTTCCACTGAATTTTCTACTCCTTTTGTGTCCGTTTTTTTCTCGTTCTTCTTCTTTTAAATTATTTTCATTTATAGTTCCTCCTATGTTCCCTGCTGTCCTCTGCTCCCACTTACAGCTCCTCCTCATAACTAGTCCTCTGTCATCTCTCACTCCTCAGTGCATACGGTTCAGTTTCAGTCATACTCTGCTGGTTTCAGCGTCCTAGCTACCTGTTTTTATTTCTGTCACCTGATTTTTGGCATTAAAATACTTTTGAGTTTTACACTTTTGTGTTTTGATCCTTTCCAAAGCCGACAGTATTATGAAAATAAAAACTAAGATACGTTAAATGACCAGTTTGTGGCAATATATAAGCCTTATATAAAATATAAGGCTGAAAAAATACAATAGATTTATTCTATTGTAGAGAGGAATGTTTATTTCCTCCCCTCCTCCTCTCCCTAGCTGGGAGAGGAGGAGGGGCTCCCTGCTATCACAGCGCTTCATTGCCTTGTTGCCAACCCCCCCTCCCCCGTCCTCAGCAGCGACAACGGTCGCGTGAGTTTGAAAAGACTGCTGGGGAAGGGTGGATGAAATTGTCTGAGAATATTCCAGAATGTCTACCAGAAAAAGCCAATGTTACTTACTTACTGCATGACTAAAGGGGAAGCAGCGTGAGCTCTGCATAGAGCGTAATGCTGCGGCAGTTTTCTTTTTTTCAGGTTAATTTTTCAATACGAGGCCACGAGGCACACAATAAACTTAGGAAGCATGTTGAGGGGAAACATACTTTTACCATTGCTTATTTTACCATTCAACTTACCACTGACACAACAAATATGCTTCAAACTGAAAACTTACCTCCTACTTCCTCATCACCGTCGTCTCTGCTTGACTGAATTGCTTCTGCTGCTCCGCTGCATGTGTGCTGTGACGGTGGCTCCACCCCCCGTGGAGTGGAGCCCACAACATGAGTTCATTAAGCTGGCGCCATCTGTTGGATAGGTAGCGCAATATTGGCCATATCGGCCATATTTTTGGCCGATAGTGTTAATGACCCCAATATCGGCCGGCCGATAAATCGGTCAGGCCCTAGTTTACACATATTTAGATAACGCATATGTGGTTTACATATACGTAATTTACATAAACGTGGTTTACGTATACATGGTTTAAATATACTTGGTTTACATATACGTGGTTTACATATATGTAGTTTACGCATACATGGTTTACATAAACATGGTGAACATATATGTAGTTTATATATATGTGGTTTAAATATATGTAGTTTACACATACATGGTTTATACATATGTAGTTTACACATACATGGTTTATACATATGTAGTTAACACATATGTGGTTTACACATACGTAGTTTACATATACATGGTTTACATATATGTAGTTTACACATACTTAGTTTACACATATGTCGTTTACATATACGTAGTTTACACATATGTCGTTTACATGTATGTAGTTTACATATATGTAGTTTACATATACGTGGTTTACATATATGTAGTTTACACATACGTAGTTTACATATACATGGTTTACATATATGTAGTTTACACATACGTAGTTTACATATACATAGTTTACATATATGTAGTTTACACATTGGTAGTTTACATATATGTAGTTTACATATACATAGTTTACATATACATGGTTTACATATATGTAGTTTACACATTGGTAGTTTACATATATGTAGTTTACACACACGTAGTTTACATATACATGGTTTACATATATGTAGTTTACACATTGGTAGTTTACATATATGTAGTTTACATATACATAGTTTACATATACATGGTTTACATATATGTAGTTTACACATTGGTAGTTTACATATATGTAGTTTACACACACGTAGTTTACATATACATGGTTTACATATATGTAGTTTACACATTGGTAGTTTACATATATGTAGTTTACATATACATAGTTTACATATACGTGGTTTACATATACGTAGTTTACGCATGTGTGGTTTACATATACATGGTGTACATATAACACTAACCCACCTACTACGTAGTAAGGTTGTGCTAAGGGACAATTATTTGACCATTGAAGTTGGACTGAGCCATTCAGCGGTCGTTGTTTTAAGAGGCGATTTGTTTATTTGTTTGTATACCCAATAGAAAGTTTGTCAATGACTCATGCAGATATGCAGTTATTTTAATCTTTACGTACAGAGAACATCACAGAGGTACAAGCAAGAAGAGATTCCTGAGCCTTTTCTTACTTTCGCGCATTGTCGAGTGTTTCTAGATCTAGAAAGCGGAAACCTTTCTTCCAGAGTCTGGAAGACTTCTGGTTATTTCATTTGGTGAAATGTTTCCTGATTTTAAAACTTTGGCTGAAGTAGTGCTCGTTATTCAGCACCCGCTTTGAATCAGGCTTGGCAGTGGAGCGCAGATTTTTTCAGTGCCACAGCCGTGAGGGAAAAGTCCAGAACCTCATGGCCACTGGCAGCTGGTGAAGTTTTTTTTTAGCGGGGCGCATTTTTCCAGTCATTCAAAGATTCTCTAACCACAAATCACAACTAGGGGGCGTCAAATTACCATTCTTATGCGACATACAACTTTAACCTGACAGACCCGGAACCAGGTCTACGAGCACTTACGGCTATAATGCTGTTCCAAAAACATGTTTAACATTCACCAACATATGCAAACTGCACACATAATTAACCCTAACCCTCACCTAAAGCCGGGCGTACACTGTGCGAATTTTTCACTTTTTTGAGCCGATTTTCCAGTCGTGCGAGAAGCCACGACATCGGGGCGAGTTTTGTGCCGAGCGGTCGTGTAGTGTACAGGGGGTTACGAGAGGCGATTAACACCACGTGACCAGCTACCGATCAGCAGTCGTGAGGTCGCAGGGACTTCTGGCGTGTTTAATATTTCGCTCGTCCCTCGTGAGGGTATCGCACTGTTGAAGCGGCACTGCGAGCAGCTACGATCCAAAAAGTATCAGAACCGCTCACGGCGCATGCGCGCGCAATCCTGCATCAACGCCGGCCGGTCGCTCGCTATTTCCCTAATAACACACGCTGTTCGTTTTTGTTTCTACACGTTTTTTTACTCACAAAGATTGTCAAGAAAGCGTGTTTGTCGTGTTCATGTCAAATTAAACTGATCACAAAACACAGATTCACTTTATTTCGTTTTCCTCATCCAACCCCCATAAATCCCTGTGTGTCCTCCTGCAGCACTCCCGAAGGACAACAGGCAAGACAAAAAAGTCTGACGTGTTGTGTAAAAACTGCTATTTTAGCACATTTTTAGGGCCGACGTGTTGCTACCAGACGTACAGTGTGAGCAGTCAGGTCGCATGCGAGAACTGGGTCGTGCAGTGTGAGCACACGACTCGTGAGATCTGCTCTGCGAGGAAGTCGTACAGTTTGAGCTGAAGCTGAACGCTGCGAGTGAAAAAGTCGCACAGTGTACGCCCGGCTTAAAGAACATAATCCACATTTTATACCTCAACAACACCCCAACGTCAACAATAATCTATGTTATAGTAAAGAAAGTCTACCTGGTTTGTGTAATCCTATGTCCCAACGTCACACTGAGCTGACTCTCGTTTTTTTTTACCTGCTTGAGAGTGTTTACAAATGTCCGACGCCACATTCCATCATTTCCCGGTTCTCCATAATGCATTGCATATTAATTTAAATGTATGAGAATTTACTGGTATTATTGAATGTTTATTCATTATTATTTTTTAAATAAATGTAATGAGAAAAATTGATAATTTGAGCTCTGGCTGCAGGCAACTGCTCCTCAGAGTGCGTCCAAATGCTGCAGCGATTCACTCATTTGATTCATTTTCTACTCAAACACATAAAAGAAAGAAACTCAGTTTACTCAAATGTTGTTTGCAAATACATAGTTTATGTCTATGTAGTTTACATACACATAGTTTACATCTATGTAGTTTACGTACACGTAGTTTACATCTATGTTGTTTACATACACATAGTTTACATCTATGTAGTTTACATACACATAGTTTACATCTATGTAGTTTACGTACACGTAGTTTACATATACATAGTTTACATACACATACTTTACTCTTATGTAGTTTACATACACATAGTTTACATACACATACTTTACTCTTATGTAGTTTACTTACACATAGCGTACACTGATGTAGATTACAACTATGTAGTTTATATTCACATAGTTTACATACACATAGTTTACATCTATGTAGTTTACATACACATAGTTTATATCTATGTAGTTTACATACACATATTCTACTCTTATGTAGTTTATATACACATAGTTTATGTCTATGTAGTTTACATACACATTTTACTCTTATCTAGTTTACATACACATAGTTTATATCTATGTAGTTTACATACACATAGTTTACATCTATGTAGTTTACGTACACGTAGTTTACATACACATAGTTTACATACACATACTTTACTCTTATGTAGTTTACATACACATAGTTTACATACACATAGTTTACATACACATACTTTACTCTTATGTAGTTTACTTACACATAGCGTACACTGATGTAGATTACAACTATGTAGTTTATATTCACATAGTTTACATACACATAGTTTACATCTATGTAGTTTACATACACATAGTTTATATCTATGTAGTTTACATACACATATTCTACTCTTATGTAGTTTATATACACATAGTTTATGTCTATGTAGTTTACATACACATTTTACTCTTATCTAGTTTACATACACATAGTTTATATCTATGTAGTTTACATACACATAGTTTACATCTATGTAGTTTATATTCACATAGTTTGCATACACATAGTGTACATATATGTAGTTTACATACATGTAGTTTATATCTATGTAGTTTACGTATACGTAGTTTACATCTATGTTGTTTTTATACACATAGTTTACATCTATGTAGTTTGCATGCACGTAGTTTACGTACACATAGTTTACATATATGTAGTTTACATACACGTAGTTTACATCTATGTAGTTTACATACACATAGTTTACATGTATGTAGTTTACATGCACATAGTTTACATACACATAGTTTACATGTATGTAGTTTACATGCACGTAGTTTACATACACATAGTTTACATATATGTAGTTTACATACACGTAGTGTACATATATGTAGTTTACATATATGTTGTTTTTATACACATAGTTTACATATATGTACTTTACATACACGTAGTTTACATCTATGTAGTTTACATACACATAGTTTACATCTATGTAGTTTACATGCACGTAGTTTACATACACATAGTTTACATCTATGTAGTTTATATGCACGTAGTTTACATACACAAAGTTTACATATATGTAGTTTACATGCACGTAGTTTACATACACATAGTTTACATATATGTAGTTTACATACACGTAGTTTACATCTATGTAGTTTACATACACATAGTTTACATCTATGTAGTTTACATACACGTAGTTTACATCTATGTAGTTTACATACACGTAGTTTACATCTATGTAGTTTACATACACGTAGTTTACATCTATAGTTTATATACACATAGTTTACATCTATGTAGTTTACATACACATAGTTTACATATATAGTTTACATACGCATAGTTTACATATATAGTTTACATACACATAGTTTACATATATAGTTTACATACACGTAGTTTACATCTATAGTTTATATACACATAGTTTACATCTATGTAGTTTACATACACATAGTTTACATATATAGTTTACATACACATAGTTTACATATATAGTTTACATACACATAGTTTACATCTATGTAGTTTACATACACATAGTTTACATATATAGTTTACATACGCATAGTTTACATATATAGTTTACATACTCATAGTTTATATACACATAGTTTACATCTATGTAGTTTACATACACATAGTTTACATATATAGTTTACATACGCATAGTTTACATATATAGTTTACATACTCATAGTTTATATACACATAGCTTACAGACACGTAGTTTACATATGTAGTTTACATACACATATTTTACTCTTATGTAGTTTGCATACACAGCATACATTGATGTAGGTTACAACTATGTAGTTTATATTCACGTAGTTTACATACACATAGTTTATACCTATGTAGTTTACTCTTATGTAATTTTCATTTATGTAGTTTACATAGTTTATACCCAATTTGTTTACACCAATGTACTTTACAGATGTGTAGTTTAAACCCATGTAGTTTTCTTCTGTAGAGGAAACAAAACTGTAAAATGAACGGACGTCACGGTACGATGTTGTGGCAGAGAAAAATGCTGCATCTTACTATTATTCACCTAACCGTGTGTGTGTGTGTGTGTGTGTGTGTGTAGGGTTCTGGCTGCTGTGGACTGTTCTCATCCTCTTCAGCTGCTGCTGCGCGTACCGACACCGCCGAGCGAAGCTGCGAGTCCAGCAGCAGCAGAGGCAGAGGGAGATCAGCCTGCTGGCCTACCATGGAGCCAGCTCCTTCCCCTCCTCCATGCTGGACCTCAGTAAGTCCCTCAGCATCACTGTCTTCAGCAGATGTCAGATCTCCTCACAGTGAAACCAGCCTTGCTTCTGTTGCTCAACTGTCAGCTGATGTTCTGCTTCTCTGTTGCCATGACGACCCACCAGGCTAGGACCAAACATCTGTGACTTATCAGTCATGTGGAGGTTTTTTTACTCAGTGTCTAAAACTCTTTTCATCTGCTAATTTTGTGGCATAAATCAGGTGAGAACTACAGAAGAACCAGGTCTCGCTGGAGTATAATCAGTAAAAAAGTATTATGCAAAGCTGGGACCAAGTCATTGTTTTGTCTCAAGTGAGCCTAAAGGGGCTACGTCGATCGGCCTCCTCCAACAGAGAGCCGTCTCCAATTGGTCACTTTAAAGAGCCAACTCTAAGAGACATCTCTACTAGTCAAGTCTCGAGTCACGACAGGCAGGTTTCAAGTCCTAAGTCTGAAACATCAAGCATTTTCTCCTTCTGGTATAGACTATGACTGTGTGCAGTTTTTACTCATGACGAAGTAGCATGAGGGGATCAGGTATGCTCCACAGAAACACAGCTCAGCTGAACAATTGTGGTTTTGCTGGACATTTTACAGTTTTACGGCTTATTGCCCCCTAGGCAATCAGCAGCCAGACTCACGATGCCACCTCACCGGTGGTGCTCATTCCTCACCCCTGCCACGTGGACCCAAGGGATAAACCATCAATCCTGCTCAATGGTGCACTTTCCTCGCGGGGTCACACCCATTAGGACAGTGGGAGGGTTAAAATAGGTATAAGGGCAATTATCCAGTTCTCTCCAGTAAACAGGTTCAAGCCCAAGTCACTGGTGTAAAGGTTCGAGTCAAGTCTAAAGTCATGAAATATTGACTCAAGTCCACATCTCTGGTATCACGTAAAGTCCCATTAGTCTTCTTCACACACTGACGAAGTTACATCTCCACATTTGACCCATGCCCGCGGGCAGCGGTGAGCTGCAGCTGCGCTCTGGAACTGTTTGGTGGATTAACCCCTCAGTTCAATCCCATGAAGCTGAGGGTCATGCAGGGAGGCACTGGGACCAGTTTTTAAAGTCTTTGGTATGACCCAACTGTGGATTTGGACCCCAGTCTCGCAGTCTCAGGGTGGACACTCATCCCGCAAGACCACTGAGAAGGCTAACCGAGATGAAAGGCGGTTGCTGGACTACGGTGTGGTGCTTGAAACTGTAACAGAGTCTGATCATGGCTCAGAAACATTTATGGGACAGTAAAAGGTTCTGAGACTTTATTTAGGTTCTGGTTCTGTCTTCGATTGGGTTGGATCGACAAGCCCTGCTCTCCTTTCCTTCAGGTTTCCTGGCGTCGCTGAAGCTGCCGTCGTATGAGGAGGTAGCAGCTCAGCCCACCACGCCTCCTCCCCCCTACAGCTCCGTGTTTACCACCCCCCGCTACCCGCAGCCCCCGCGTGCTGCTGACCCCCACCTGCTCACGCAGCACGACCCACTGCTGCACCGACCGCTGAGTGATGGCCCGTCCTCCCTCAGCTCTGACAACAGGTAAACGTCCCAATGCTGCTAGAAGTACAGCAGAAAAAGAGTTATTTTACTCTATTGGTACGTTATTTTACTACATTTATAAAATATTTGTTTTTATTTGATTAACTCCAACTTGTTTCTGGGCTTTAACGTTACTATGAACCAAACGTCTTCTGTCCTGCAGCTCCAGCTGTTCCTGCGACTCCTGCTGCCCTTCTTCTCCATGTAGCTCCTCGCTATCAGCCCCTATCACCTATGAGACTGACACAAGCCACGCCTCCACGCCCAGTGAGGCCACACCTCTGACGCTTGATGTCACCATCGAGACCATAGCAGCTGCCGCATGCTGCTTGGAGGCAAACAAGGCTTGCTCCGCCCCCGAGGGCCCGTCCACTGCGGTGGCCATTCACGTGGAAGATGCAGAAGCTGCCAGACCTCAGGAACTAAACACCAAGGACTTATTGCCTCCTAGCCAGACTGTTACCACAGCAACTGCTACGCGGGCACCCTCTCCTCTGCACCTGCCCTCACCTGGCTCTGAGCTCACCCTTCCTGTTGCAGCTACGTCCCCCGTGAACCCACACCTCGACTCAGCACCACGTTCTCCGATCATCAGCACGGCTAGCTCCAGTACGCTTCCCAGTCCGAGTGTCGATGCCACACAGGTCCAGTCCATCAGAACCATGACAAGTGAAAGTGTGTCCAGACCTGCTGACAAAACCCTTGAGACTCTTTGTGTAACAAGAACTTTGGATCTGGTCAGTGTTTCGTGTAGCCCAGCACCAGCACCGCCACCAGACGTTCACAGAGCTTTGGTCTTTGAAGCGTCTACTCTTCAGAACCACAGCTTTATGCCTATAACCCCCACCCAGACTCCAGACCAAAAACCCAACCCTACTGAAGCTACGGACCCTGTTACTCCACCTCCAGACCCACAATTCACCAAGTTCCCAAATTCTGTAACTGCTTCCCTTCCATCTCTAAAACCACTCCACCTGAATCTGAACCAAGGAGATAACGTTTTGGTGTCCTCTTCACAACGCCAGACCACCCCCAGTCCTGGGTCAGGTCCCATCCAGTCCACCCCCAGTCCTGGGTCAGGTCCCATCCAGTCCACCCACAGTCCTGGGTCAGGTCCCATCCAGTCCACCCCCAGTCCTGGGTCAGGTCCCATCCAGTCCACCCCCAGTCCTGGGTTGGGTCCAGTTCTGACTACCCACAGTCCTGGTTCTGGTCTTGTCCAGTCCACCCACAGTCCTGGTTCTGGTCTAGTCCAGTCAACCCACAGTCCTGGTTCTGGTCTAGTCCAGACTACGCACAGTCCTGGATTAGGTCCCATCCAGTCAACCCACAGTCCTGGGTTGGGTCCAGTTCTGACTACCCACAGTCCTGGTTCTGGTCTTGTCCAGACTACGCACAGTCCTGGTTCTGGTCTTGTCCAGTCCACCCACAGTCCTGGTTCTGGTCTAGTCCAGTCAACCCACAGTCCTGGTTTTGGTCTAGTCCAGACTACCCACAGTCCTGGTTCTGGTCTTGTCCAGTCCACCCACAGTCCTGGTTCTGGTCTAGTCCAGTCAACCCACAGTCCTGGTCCTGGTCTCGTCCTTACTACCGACAGTCCTGGGTCAGGCCCAGTCCAGCTCTTAGACTCTATTACTGCTGTTGTACCTCGTCTAAACTTGACCACATCAGTACGTGATTCTGGACCTCCTCAGGACTCATGTGGCTTTTCTGAGATCAACCTGGTCCTACCCTTGCCTTCAGAGGTCCAGGCTGGTTTTGGTTCTGGATCTCCATCAGGACCAAGTCCTCTATCCACCCTTCCTCTGGTCCTCTCCTGTCCTGCCCCTGAGACGTCCTTCTCCTGCCCAGCCATCACCATTGAGTCTGACACCTGTCTTACTATGTCCCACACAACCCTGGCAGTGGTCTCTCCGTCCTCTCCCCGGGCTCCTGTCCCTCTCGCAGCACCAGTTCTGCTCCTGGACCCCCTCGCCGCTCTGCAGCCGTCCGACAGAGGGGATTCTTCTTCTGGTCACGCTTCCTCTCACTCCCCCTCACCCCGTGCCACTCAGTCCCCGCCGAAGCAGACGGTGTTCTCCCCATGTGTGGACATTTTTGAACCTGGACCTTCCTGCTGGGAGGACGGAGACGAGGAGCAGGAACACAGGGACGAGGATGAGGACGATGACATGGGTGCCGATGAGAGCCAGTACAGACATCGAAGACTTACTGGGGACTCTGGGATTGAGGTGTGCCGATGTAGGGTGGAGGAGGATGAGGAGGAGGAGGAGGAGGAGGAGGAGCGCAGGAAAGGAGGAGAAAGTGAGAACGTTGATGTCCACGATAGCGTGGATTGTCCTGCAAGAGTTCATCTGGGCACAGGAGAGGAGCTTTCACAGTGTACACCCACCGCCGCCGTTACCACAACAACACCCGATGATGGCGGCAAAGTCATCGTCGTCATGGAGACGGTGTGATTGGCTTAACCTGGGCAGATGGATTAGTTTAGCGCCCTGATGTAGATGAAGACAGAGGTAGTTCTGACGTTTGGGATCAGAGGCAGCAGGCGTTCACAGATCAAAGGGTAGGTTTCAGATCCGGGACTAACTTGCTCCCTGTGAAGATGGAGGTTTGGCCACGTTTCACCTCGTCGAGACCATCGTACGCACATTCCCCCAAAGTGGAAAAAACCTTCAAACTTCACGTAACCCGAAGAGAGTCGTTCGTTTATGAGAACACTCATCTCAGTAGTTCAGCGCCCACATGGTTCATTCCTCATTAACCACCACGGTTCCAACCGGGGAACTCACCCTCCCGTCTGAGCCATGTGACGTAAACAACAGGAAGTCGCCTAACTCGGGCTGGGGTTCGTTGCTCCTCAGCAGTGGACTTTCTGTCACTTGTCCATAAACGAATGAAGATATCTCGCATGCTGCCTTGGTGGATGACGAGGGATTGGCCGTGTGCCGGGGACGAGTTGGCTGCTTTAAGACGGGTGTAGGCGGATGATTCACGCCGACTGATTGATGGAGGGTCGTCTGATTCATTTGGTAAGGGGACATTTTGATGGAGACGTCTGTCAGTAGAGCGGATTTAGGACGCCGGCTTGTGGTTTCTCCTCGTGGGTTTAGTCTGAGTCGGTGTGGAAAGTTTTCCGGCTCCGTCGACTTCCTCTGCGTCAACATTCTGAGCAGAGAAGAGCTCTTACATAAACAAAAACAAAGGGTGCTTTTAGGCTGAAACAAAGCACCAAAGAGCGGAGACAGAGCATGTCATCGTGCTCTCTTTGTCTCCAGTGATGAGGTCAGATGAAACAACGTGCCACAGATAGACGCCACCATTTTCTTCATAAATGAAACCTCTCCTCAACCCTTAATCTGAAAACGTGGACCAGAAAACCAAAGTTCCCGCCCTATCCAGAGATTTTATTTTTAGGCATCATGGATGTTGTTGTCAGTTGGGTAGACACATCCGTGTACATATTTGTGACAGAAAGACCTGGAGATAGTCTATTTTACCACAGAGGAGCTAGTGTGTCTGTTTTGTATGTGCTGGTGTAGAGCCGGGGTTTTCAATTCGGTATCCAGCTCGCTTTAGTGGTTCCTGGGCTCCAACACACTTGATTCAGTGGTGGAATCACCTGTGCAGCAGCTCATCAAGCGCCCCAGAAGCCTGTTAATCACCTGCGGATTGAAATCAGGTGTGTTGAAGCAGGTTAAAACTAAAACGAGCTGGACACCGGCCCTGGCCAAGAGTGTGTGTGTAAATAACCCCAGAAACGCCCTCGTTTAGGTTCACACGCTTTGGGCTGACAAAGGTTTCCCCACAGCGTGAACTAAGGAGACAACATGCTCCGTGCACGTGTGGCCAGACGTTTACATCGGGGGGGGGGTTCTTATAAAACACGATGTTAGTGGTTCACAAATCCGATCATCTGTGGTTCTAGAAGGTTCTAGAATGTCTCTAACAAGGCCAAGACTCACTACCCTCCTGTTGGTGATGATTGGTGCCTTCTCTTTTCTTCCTCCTGCTGGACTGACCAGCGCTCAGAAGCTGGGATGGGACATCATAGATTTAGCTGATTTAGAACTTTTTGGAGCTTTTTTTGGACTTTTAACTGGAAACAAGTAAAATACATTCAGCACGTTCCTATTGTATGAGGGGAGACTCCCAACTGTTCTCCTCAGATGAAAGTAACTTGGGTCCTATGTTCAGGAACAACCTAGGAAGCATACCGTACATGAACCAGGACCTGTTGGAAAGTAGTCCATGTCCTTGGAGAAACCAGTTTCTCAGGACCAGGAAAGAAACTTGTACTTTAAACAAGACACTGTGACAATTGACCAGAATAGGCAAGTGTCCATATGGACAAGACAAACGTCTACCTGCCAAAGTGACAAATGTTCGGAGGAGTCAAGGTGATGTTTTCAGACCTGAGAATTTGTACCAGCTGTACAGCATGGTGGTGGTAGCATCATGATGTGGGACTGATGCCTAATGAAACGATGAAGGACTACCATTGTCTAGATGGTTGAAACTTAGACCCAGTAGGGTAGTCCCACAGGACAGTGAGCCCAAACACACTTTAGGCCCAGTTTCTGATGCTGGCCTTCCCAGAGCCCAGACCTCCACATTTATGGGCTAAATCTCACATATTCTGGTTTGAATAGAGAAAGTCCACGTAAACCTTTCTCTGAATGTCTAATGAGGCTCAAATTAGTCATGAAAAGCAGCAGATTCCACAATGGTGGATGTAAACCCCTGGCCACATCTGTAATTTGGAGACATTTGTGATTTCAACGTTTACATTTATGAACTCAGACTGAACGTTTACCGAAGTTTCATTAGTGAAGAACCCCGCAGAGTAACGTCTGCAGATGGAATCAGACGTTAAAGTTGGTCCTTGCAGGAGAAGTAACGAGAGCTGGTATCTAGAAGGTCACCTAACACTTAACCCTGTGTCCATGCTGCATTAACCGTCGTAACGGGGGGGGCTCTTTTGAACTTCCTCCAGTCGTGATCAAGAGATAACATGATGACAAATTCAAAAATACTTTATTAATCCCAGAGGGAAATTAGAGTGAGCGATTATATTTCTGAGCTTGATCCATGTTTAGTTGGGTAGAACATCAGGTTCTAGGAGCCCAAACACCGATGGTACCTTTGGTTTGTGGAGTGAGCAGGAGGTTCTGGGGTCTGGAGGACCCTCTCCTAAAGGTTCAAGGGTGACACCCAGCCATTGATGTTGTAGTTGATGTTGTGGTTGGTGGTCGTTTTGTTTACCGGAACTAATAGCGATATTTATCTCCATGGTTTCTGAGTGCCATTTCTACTTGACAACTGTTACTACTTAGCATAATCTAGAGCTGTTCTCGCTCTGTGTGACTGTGGCCTTCTGAGCAGAATGACTGAGGAAATGTCTCAACCGTGTCGGTACTTTAGGTTCTCGAAGGCTGTGCAGACCTCAGATCAGCTGGATAAAATTCAAATTGCCTTAAAGTAGAGCGGACGGGAATCTTACCCTGACGTAAGTTCGACGGAAACTTCTCCCAACCCAGACTGATTCAAACTCTTCAAATCTGAGACCTCTGACTTTGGCAGCACTTCTGACCATTTCAGACATCAACGGTTCTGATGCTGTTTGTCTTTTGGGGGGGAAAGGGACCAATGAACGATCAGTGAAACCAAGGGTAGGTATGGCTGACTCTGGGACTGCGTAACTTTGGGAAACTTGTCTTTATGTCGTCTTTGCTGAGTTCTGAAGCACTTGTTTTTCATCAGATGTCTAAAACATTTAACCGCGGTCGTCTCCGTCCGAAGAGTCTCTCCTTGACTGGGTTCACAAGGATGGGTCAGGAGTTCAGCTTCCCTCCCATCGTTCTACAGGACGCTCTTAGGCATCCTGATATCGGGGTTACGTTGGTAGACGGGACGATTGCATCGAAAATTAAAAGTCCAGCAGCTGTATGGATAGAAGAAATTTTCCATCTTATCTTGAGATGTTTCTCATTGGGAATGATGAACCTGGAACTTCCTGATGTCCAAATTCAAAACAGAATCTCTTGGAGTTAGGTGTTGGGTGGGATAGCCCCGCCCCCTTTAACCAGCTATGTAAATGTCCACCTGACCCTGAAACGTGACTCCAGTCAAACTTAGTTTTAGATTAAATCTGTTTTAGTTCTCGGGTTAACTTTGAGGAGCCTATAAGCAGTTCCCCTGTGACGTTCGGCAGCATAATTTGATTTACGGAGGCGTTCCTTCTCTTGTACTTTTCTCTGTCTGCGGGATTTTGCTCTGGTCAGATCTTCTCTTCGCTTCTCGCTGTTGGCTTGAAGGGCTTCCGTCGACAAACGAAGAGCAGAGATTCATCTTTAAAATCCCTAAATATTAGGAAGACAAAAGTCTAATTATTAGTATTAATAAAATGATAGTGAGTATGTGTGGATGTATGTGTAACCTAACTAAACCAGCCTGTTCTAAAAGTGTGAAAATATAAATAAAACTGTTGAATTTACAAGGAGTTTGTGTTTGTGAATTCAGCAAAAGCAAGAAAAAGGACCATCTTCATTAGATTATTGGTTTATTGAAGAGAGGAAATACTTCATCTTACCGATATTAATGACAATAAAACACATTTAATATATCTAGCTTACGCTAAAGAATTGAAAGCTGCTTGTAAGACACCAAAGTTTCATAAGACCGTTGATGTTGTATCTGTTTTTGGACATTGACAAAAAGACCAATGAGCAAAAGTTCACATCTGTGTTTATATTCTAACGACTTTTACTTCATTAAACATTTAAACGGGACGCTTTTCTAAGATTTCTGCTTTGACATTTAGCCACTCCCCACTTTTGTTGCTCCACCCTCCCATCCTGACCTGGGAGTGACTATGACTTTATAAGGCAGTGGTTGCAGGACCACACCCAGACGCCCCTGCAGGTTAGGGGGGGGATCCCCGTCAGGAAGCCTGAAGCTCATTCGCTGGAGCAGAGAAGACAGGAAGAGGAAAAGCTCCAGTCTGGCCAGTGATTCACCAACGCAGACTCGAGGCCCCGCCCCAAATGGAAGGAAGCAGGCTGGTGTGACGCGCTGGCCTTGGTCGTCAAGGAAACGGTCTGTATTGGAGGGAAGGGACAGGTAAAAAGGTATGTTTTGTGGTAGCGTAGAAACTGAAGGTATGTTCCTGCGAGCTACCTGGGAGGAACAGATCCGGTTTGTCCCAGAGTCGGGGGTCATGGTGGATCGACCACATGTTGACCAGAACACGTGTTCCGCGACTCACAGCGTAACCTCCAATACTACAAGAGAAAGGGTTGTCACCACCAAAGGTTCGCATCAGTAGTGGATGCAGTCCAGGTGCCTCACATAGATGGTTGTACTGGGAAACCAGGTTCACCTGCTGTGGGTCATGGCGGTATGGGGGATCAGCACCGGACTGACAGGTCGGATCCTCATGCCCTCGTTGATGACACAATCCAAGTAGGGCAGTCGACCACGGTCTGACACACTCACCGGACGCTCAGCGCCCACCTGCTCATCCAGCTCCCTCTGCACACGCTCCTGGACCTGCAGTTGAGAACCACTGATGGTGTTACAGCCAGGAATTAAGGAAGGAAACAAGCAGCCAGCATGTGCCTGCAGACCCATCAACCCAACACCAGAACTTCAGGTGTTTACCTCAGGGTGGTGCAGCAGGTAAGCCAGGATCCACAGCAGAGTAGTGGATGTTGTCTCTACTCCAGCTCCAAAAGCTTCAGCCGCCGTCATTAATATGTGATCATCAGTTATCCCCGCTCCCTCTGAGCCATGTGACTTTTGGCCCCTCCCACTGCTGGTCTGACCTTTTAGTAATGCGTCCAGGAGGTCACGCGGCTCTCCATCAGTCAGCGATTCCTGTTCAACACCAAGGCCCAATCCCAATACTCGCACTTGCACCCTTTTTGCCATCCCGGCCAGGGGTACGAATGCGTAGGGTGTTCCGAATCCCAAACGCAGACGTGGACCACACCCCTTTAGCTCACTCGAGTTGCATTCCACCCAAGTCCACATGCGGACTTGGGTGAAGGGTATTACCCACAATACATTGCTGCGAGAGAAAAGGCTCAAGTTCCTTTTCTGGAAAAATGTATTTTTAAATGAAAGTAGTTCATTTTAGGACGATTAATCGATGCTCCGAATGTTTTAGACAAAGCAGCAATGAATGTAAACTTATTTTAAATAATTGTTTGTCTGAAAGTTGTTTTTAAAAAATGTGGCGCAGCGACCGGCATCCCCGCCTGCTTTGGGGTCGATGACCGATGCTCCCTGTCCCAGTTCAGCAGTTACTACCAGGCACTCAAAGCCTGACTGCGCACGTGCTCTTCAGAAGACTGTCGGGTGCAGTGCGAGCATTGGCCCAATAGAATAACAGGGGTTACCTGCTTTTCTCCTCTGTGGCCTGCAGGAGGCGCTGCTGCCCTCTGGTGGGCAAGCAGGTGTCGGACTGACCTTGTGTTCCTGCAGCTTGCTGCTCAGCAGGTGGTCTCTGATGGTGATGCATTCCTTCAGCTTCCTGAGAGACCTGTTAGGGAGGTACTGCAGCAGGCCGTTAGAGACAGCGGATCTTTTGTTATTAGGAACGTTCTGGTCAACACACATGAAGATAAAACAGACAGATCAGGAACGGTACCTTCATCCAGGGGAAGATGTCCACCAGTCCTCCTTGGGCGATCGTCTCTACAATGCCGTTGTTGTACCGGATCACCTCCTGTAGCTCCTTCTCGCCAGGGCGATAGGTGCTGCTGAACACCAACGTGCACACCACGTTAGTGACAGCTCTGGTCACTGCAGGAGACGGGTCAAACCCACAGGTCTGGTTGGACAGCAGCTCCGCACACAGACTGTCCACCGCAGACAACACTACAGACATGAAACATGGACGTCATCCATCAGCCTGAAACTTTGTCTTTTCTCACACAAAACTAAAGGTTGCTTCTTGTTTTCTGCTTTGATCTCCTGGAGTTCCTCTCCTCCTCTGCTGTGAGTTGATACCAGACTGGCCCTCTGGCGACACCTGCTGTTGGTTTAACCAGGTCGAGTCATCGCAGGGCCTGGAGGCTGTTCTGCTCCAACACACCTGGTCCAGTGACTGATCAGCAGATCCTCAGGTTCTCCAGAAGCCTGTTAATCACCTGCTGACTCACACCTGGTGTGTTGGTGCAGGTGAACATGCAAATGTTGGTCCTCCAGCACCGGGACCTCATCCCGGTTCCCTGCTTTTAGTACCTCCTTCTTCCTGTTGGCTGGTTTAATAAAAGCAATGAAACAAGGTCAGAATCAGAGAGATCGGTTTGGTTCTGTACCGACTTCCTGCAGCCGGCTGGTTCCTTCTCCAAACAGCGTGAAGGAGTTGTGGACGAGGCGGCGATGGAACTTCCAGAGAGGAGAATAATCTGAGAAGGCGATGTCCTTCCCTCCTCTGGTCAGCAGCTCGGTGGTGACCTGGTCAGAGAGGCAAACCGTCTGTTTCATCAGGTGTGAAATAATTAAATCCAAGATGTCACCCCTTAAACCCCTCCCCCTCACCATGCTCGGTCGCCCGGCGAAGTCCCTCCCTCTCTGCAGCAGAACCTCTCTGGCGTGTGTGTGGCTGTTCACCACCACCGTGTAATGAGGACCCAGGTAGAGCGCAAACAGAGGTCCCAACCTGGAAACCAGAACCCAACAGAATGGGTTCTGTTGTTAACTAAACCAGGGGTTAACCAGTCCCTTTAAACATGTCCTCAAACTACTTAACTAACATGTGAGTTAACTAGTTCTACTAAATGTTAACTAAACCAGGGGCTAACCAGTCCCTTTAAACATAAACATGTCCTCATACTAGTGAACTAACATGTGAGTTAACTAGTTCTACTAAATGTTAACTAAACCAGGGGTTTACCAGTCCATTTAAACATGTCCTCAAACTACTTAACTAACATGTGAGTTAACTAGTTCTACTAAATCTGAACTAAACCAGGGGCTAACCAGTCCCTTTAAACATGTCCTCAAACTACTTAACTAACGTGAGTTAACTAGTTCTACTAAATGTTAACTAAACCAGGGGTTAACCAGTCCCTTTAAACATGTCCTCAAACTACTTAACTAACATGTGAGTTAACTAGTTCTACTAAATGTTAACTAAACCAGGGGCTAACCAGTCCCTTTAAACATGTCCTCAAACTACTTAACTAACGTGAGTTAACTAGTTCTACTAAATGTTAACTAAACCAGGGGTTAACCAGTCCCTTTAAACATGTCCTCAAACTACTTAACTAACATGTGAGTTAACTAGTTCTACTAAATGTTAACTAAACCAGGGGCTAACCAGTCCCTTTAAACATGTCCTCAAACTACTTAACTAACGTGAGTTAACTAGTTCTAATAAATGTTAACTAAACCAGGGGTTAACCAGTCCCTTTAAACATGTCCTCAAACTACTTAACTAACATGTGAGTTAACTAGTTCTACTAAATGTTAACTAAACCAGGGGCTAACCAGTCCCTTTAAACATGTCCTCAAACTACTTAACTAACATGTGAGTTAACTAAATGTTAACTAAACCAGGGGCTAACCAGTCCTTTTAAACATAAACATGTCCTCATACTAGTGAACTAACATGTGAGTTAACTAGTTCTACTAAATGTTAACTAAACCAGGGGTTTACCAGTCCATTTAAACATGTCCTCAAACTACTTAACTAACATGTGAGTTAACTAGTTCCACTAAATGTTAACTAAACCAGGGGCTAACCAGTCCTTTTAAACATAAACATGTCCTCATACTAGTGAACTAACATGTGAGTTAACTAGTTCTACTAAATGTTAACTAAACCAGGGGTTTACCAGTCCATTTAAACATGTCCTCAAACTACTTAACTAACATGTGAGTTAACTAGTTCTACTAAATCTGAACTAAACCAGGGGCTAACCAGTCCCTTTAAACATGTCCTCAAACTACTTAACTAACGTGAGTTAACTAGTTCTACTAAATGTTAACTAAACCAGGGGTTAACCAGTCCCTTTAAACATGTCCTCAAACTACTTAACTAACATGTGAGTTAACTAGTTCTACTAAATCTGAACTAAACCAGGGGCTAACCAGTCCCTTTAAACATGTCCTCAAACTACTTAACTAATGTGAGTTAACTAGTTCTACTAAATGTTAACTAAACCAGGGGTTAACCAGTCCCTTTAAACATGTCCTCAAATTACTTAACTAACATGTGAGTTAACTAGTTCTACTAAATGTTAACTAAACCAGGGGCTAACCAGTCCCTTTAAACATGTCCTCAAACTACTTAACTAACATGTGAGTTAACTAAATGTTAACTAAACCAGGGGCTAACCAGTCCTTTTAAACATAAACATGTCCTCATACTAGTGAACTAACATGTGAGTTAACTAGTTCTACTAAATGTTAACTAAACCAGGGGTTTACCAGTCCATTTAAACATCTCCTCAAACTACTTAACTAACATGTGAGTTAACTAAATGTTAACTAAACCAGGGGCTAACCAGTCCTTTTAAACATAAACATGTCCTCATACTAGTGAACTAACATGTGAGTTAACTAGTTCTACTAAATGTTAACTAAACCAGGGGTTTACCAGTCCATTTAAACATGTCCTCAAACTACTTAACTAACATGTGAGTTAACTAGTTCCACTAAATGTTAACTAAACCAGGGGCTAACCAGTCCTTTTAAACATAAACATGTCCTCATACTAGTGAACTAACATGTGAGTTAACTAGTTCTACTAAATGTTAACTAAACCAGGGGTTTACCAGTCCATTTAAACATGTCCTCAAACTACTTAACTAACATGTGAGTTAACTAGTTCTACTAAATGTTAACTAAACCAGGGGCTAAACAGTCCTTTTAAACATAAACATGTCCTCATACTAGTGAACTAACATGTGAGTTAACTAGTTCTACTAAATGTTAACTAAACCAGGGGTTTACCAGTCCATTTAAACATGTCCTCAAACTACTTAACTAACATGTGAGTTAACTAGTTCCACTAAATGTTAACTAAACCAGGGGCTAACCAGTCCTTTTAAACATAAACATGTCCTCATACTAGTGAACTAACATGTGAGTTAACTAGTTCTACTAAATGTTAACTAAACCAGGGGTTTACCAGTCCATTTAAACATGTCCTCAAACTACTTAACTAACATGTGAGTTAACTAGTTCTACTAAATCTGAACTAAACCAGGGGCTAACCAGTCCCTTTAAACATGTCCTCAAACTACTTAACTAACGTGAGTTAACTAGTTCTACTAAATGTTAACTAAACCAGGGGTTAACCAGTCCTTTTAAACATAAACATGTCCTCATACTAGTGAACTAACATGTGAGTTAACTAGTTCTACTAAATGTTAACTAAACCAGGGGTTTACCAGTCCATTTAAACATGTCCTCAAACTACTTAACTAACATGTGAGTTAACTAGTTCCACTAAATGTTAACTAAACCAGGGGCTAACCAGTCCTTTTAAACATAAACATGTCCTCATACTAGTGAACTAACATGTGAGTTAACTAGTTCTACTAAATGTTAACTAAACCAGGGGTTTACCAGTCCATTTAAACATGTCTTCAAACTACTTAACTAACATGTGAGTTAACTAGTTCTACTAAATCTGAACTAAACCAGGGGCTAACCAGTCCCTTTAAACATGTCCTCAAACTACTTAACTAACGTGAGTTAACTAGTTCTACTAAATGTTAACTAAACCAGGGGTTAACCAGTCCCTTTAAACATGTCCTCAAACTACTTAACTAACATGTGAGTTAACTAGTTCTACTAAATCTGAACTAAACCAGGGGCTAACCAGTCCCTTTAAACATGTCCTCAAACTACTTAACTAATGTGAGTTAACTAGTTCTACTAAATGTTAACTAAACCAGGGGTTAACCAGTCCCTTTAAACATGTCCTCAAATTACTTAACTAACATGTGAGTTAACTAGTTCTACTAAATGTTAACTAAACCAGGGGCTAACCAGTCCCTTTAAACATGTCCTCAAACTACTTAACTAACATGTGAGTTAACTAAATGTTAACTAAACCAGGGGCTAACCAGTCCTTTTAAACATAAACATGTCCTCATACTAGTGAACTAACATGTGAGTTAACTAGTTCTACTAAATGTTAACTAAACCAGGGGTTTACCAGTCCATTTAAACATCTCCTCAAACTACTTAACTAACATGTGAGTTAACTAAATGTTAACTAAACCAGGGGCTAACCAGTCCTTTTAAACATAAACATGTCCTCATACTAGTGAACTAACATGTGAGTTAACTAGTTCTACTAAATGTTAACTAAACCAGGGGTTTACCAGTCCATTTAAACATGTCCTCAAACTACTTAACTAACATGTGAGTTAACTAGTTCCACTAAATGTTAACTAAACCAGGGGCTAACCAGTCCTTTTAAACATAAACATGTCCTCATACTAGTGAACTAACATGTGAGTTAACTAGTTCTACTAAATGTTAACTAAACCAGGGGTTTACCAGTCCATTTAAACATGTCCTCAAACTACTTAACTAACATGTGAGTTAACTAGTTCTACTAAATGTTAACTAAACCAGGGGCTAAACAGTCCTCAAACTAGTTAAATAACATGTGAGTTAACTAGTTCTACTAAATGTTAACTAAACCAGGGGCTAACCAGTCCCTTTAAACATAAACATGTCCTCAGACTAGTGAACTAACATGTGAGTTAACTAGTTCTACTAAATGTCAACTAAACCAGGGGCTAAACAGTCCTCAAACTACTTAAATAACATGTGAGTTAACTAGTTCTACTAAATGTTAACTAAACCAGGGGCTAAACAGTCCCTTTTAGTCAGTGTAGTAAACAAACACGAAGTATTTAACTAGTTTTTTTCTCATTATTACCCCCAGAACAACTAGTTCATTTACTTTTTAGCAACATATGAAAAACTAAGAGATTAACATCACAACACCAACAGTATAGTCTTATGGTGACTAGTTCCTTGTCACACACTAACTAGTCCTATAATACTTTTATAACTAGTGCTCAAAGACACCCTGCTCAAAGCTCTGCACCAGAACCAGAACTGGACTCTGCCTAAGAGACTTCTCACCTGTGGCCCAGCTGGGTGAAGAGAAGGTGAGGGGGAAGGCCTCCCCCTAGCCAGGGGAGGCTCCCCAGGACTGGTAGGTGAGGCAGGCAGGGGATGGAGCTGGGGTCCAGAGGTCCAGATGGGTTTCTGGTTACAGAACCAAACCATTGTGAGATCAGGACTGAGACCAGAACCAGAGCAACGAGGGAGAGGAGCAGGAGGGATGGAGAGAAGGAGGAGAAGAGGCTGGAGAACATGGCTGCTGCAGCAGAGAGAATGAGGAGAGGAGGAGGAGCACTGACTTTAATCTGAGGAACCCAGAGAGAAACCTTGGGAGAGGTCAAAGGTCACAAGTGTGTGTGTGTGTGTGTGTGTGTGATTATCTTACACAGCCTTGGTTTTATCAGACGTCATAGCTGCGGTTACCATGGAGACCTGAAAGGACAACACTGATATCTGTTGTTTATTTGTTTATAAACAGTGAACAGACCTGAGATCTGAGGCAGCTGGTTTGGGTCCAACCGTGGAGACGCTCAGGCGGATCCTGGACCAGTTAGTGAGGCTTTGCACTGAGCCTAAACGGGGCAGCAGAGGTCGTCACTCTGCCGCTGTGTCCTTGAGCAAGGCCCTTGCCCTGCCTCGTCTGTGTGTCAGCTTGGATAAGGCGTCTGCTGCTGCAGGAACATCCTGTTTTAGTGGTGTGTGTCTCTGCGGCGGTTGTGGCTGCAGACGGGTCCCGGTCCTGGTCCTGGCCTGTCTTCAGCCATGTCCTGGTGAGCTTCGTTAATGATGATGCTTCAGACTCAGGTTTGAATCCTGGGCTCTGAAGATGAGACGGTGATCTTGGCGAGCGGTGCTTCTGCTGCAGAACTGGCGGTGTGTGTTGTGTCTGAAGAGAGTCCTGTAGGACTCTGGCAGAACGCTTCTCCTGCAGAACAAACCGGACCGCTGAGACGAGTCCTGATCAAACGGATCCATAGAAACCTGAAGAGCCTGAGCGACTCTGGCTGCAGGTGGCAGCAGCTGAAGGCCGAAGAGTTTCTGACGCCACGAGAATGCCAACACGAGCGTCTCTGTTGCAGCGTGCCGTTGGTAACAGGTGGAGGGAGAAGGAGGTGGCATGGCGCCATGGCAACAGCCTCTCTGACTTCGCCCCCTCACACATTCTTCCATTATCCGTCTTGTTTTAGTCGCTTCTTCTTCTGCTCGTCGTCAACAGACTGTCCACCTCACGGCCACCGCCATTTGATCGGTGCTGCTGTCATCGGCCGCCATCTTGTTGTGTTTTAACTTTTAGGGGGGGCTTCAGCCAAATATACAAAGTCCCTGAAGCTGAAGATTGAAGCAACACGTCACCTCAGTCTCAGTGTATGTGCACACGCACACACACTCACACACACACACACACACACACACACACACACACACACACACACACACACACACACACTGGACCTTGTTTCTGGGTCTAAATGCTGACCGTGTTTGTCCTGACGACGTTTATTTCAGGTCACCATTTCATTTTCCCTAAATGATCTGTCCCTGCATCTCTTACCTGCTCAGGTTAACGAGCACTGCCTCTCTGCTCCGGACAACATCTGCAGTCAGGATTCGAACCTGCAACCATGCAGGGCAGCAGAGCTACTAGCTGCTCCGTGCAGCCATTAAAGGTAAACTAGGACAGAGAGCAGCCGGCGACACAAACTTCCTTCTGATGATTCAGGTAAAACCAGTAACTTCAGCTCCGTTTATTTAACCTGTGGCATGGATCCCTTCCTGTCTCCATGGCGACAACATCCCAGCAGCCAGCTGTTGTGCAGGAATGTCACATGTGATATGTAATAATGTTGGTCTGCAGCACTGCAGAGCTGCGATCCATCACTTCAGTCTGGAAATAACGTTTGTGTGTGTGTGTGTGTGTGTGTGTGTGTGTGTGTGTGTGTGTGTGTGTGTGTGTGTGTGTGTGTGTGTGTGTGTGTGTGTGTGTGCATCTCCAACTGTATGAAACGTTGCAAACTGCCATCAGATGAGTTTGAGTTCTAAACTGAGATGTTTCCTAAAATGCGTCAAAACCCGGCGGATTTACGGGGTCCCCGTTACCCCCCCCCCCCCCCCCCCCACCCCGTTGCGTAACCTCTCCGCTGCCGCAGTGAAGGAAAGCCCTCTCTCCGCCGCTCTACGTCGCTCTGCCGCCTGTCCTTTTAAGGAGTGGGGATACCCGCCGTCACGACCGGAAGTTGCCCATGTTTGGGCTGCTACGAGGGGCTCGGCGGGGGGAATCCCTCGCGCCGGTGTCGACCAATAAGGCCGGGACGGGAGTTACCTTGGAGACGGAGAGTATAAAACGGAGAGCGCGAGGAGAGAGCTCATCATTTCCAGCATTACCGATCGGAATAACGGACGCACCGACAGCTCCGGTAACGGATTAAAACCCGGTGTTTGGGAATTCCCACGGTGTTTGTAGAAACCCTACAGCTGTCAGCATGCTTCTGGAGCGCGGAGACAGTTTCATGTCCGAGTTTGAGGACGCGTGCAGCGCCTGGGTGGACAGCGTGGGCTCCAGCCCGAGCGACGGAGCCAACTCCGATGTGGGGTCACCTTTCAGCCAAGGTGAGTGTGCACCTGTCCCGGTGCGTGCGTGCGTGCGTGCGTGCGTGTGTGTGTGTGTGTGTGTGTGTGTGTGTGTGTGTGTGTGTGTGTGTGTGTGTGTGTGTGCTGATGAGCTGACAGTATGCAGTGACAGTAACACCCCCTCCCTCCCTCCTCCCCTACAGTCTTCTCTCCGGGAACCGACGCGTCTGACTCAGACTTCTTCTCCGACTTCAGTGACTGCTCGTCGGACACGCTCTCTCCGTCCCTCGGATACACCGGCAGCTTCTTCGCCGAGCCGGAGCCGACGGCTGCGGGCTTGAGCAGCACCGCGGACGCCATCCTCAACATGATCACGGAGATCGTGGGAATCTGCACGGAGATGGAGCAGCAGCAGGGCGACACCGCAGCCTCCGCTCCTCCCGCCCCCGCCCTCAGCATCCCTGCCTCGGCTGCAGCCCCTGCGCCGCCAGCAGCCGCCTCTCCTCCGGTTGTGGTCAAGAACGAGTTTTCGAGCTCCAGCTGCAGCAGCGGGAGTTCCCAGCCCTCCGCAGCCGGGACTGCTGCTCTGTTCCCGGCTGCAGCGGACTCTCTGATGCCGCTGTCCGCCCTGGAGCAACAGGTGGACGTGACTGACTTCATCGAGTCGCTGCTGAGCTCTGAAGCCGTGCAGGGTGAACTGAAGCCCGGCTTTGAGGTGAAACTGGAGCCGTTGGGACTAGAGGACTGGATGAGGAGCTTGTCGGCTCCCGTTACCGGCGGAGACCCTGGTAACTACGTCATCAGCAGGTCTGCAATCAAAACGGAGCTCGTGCAAGGCGGCAGCGACCTCGTCTGCACACTTTCCCCGCTCCCCTCCACCCTGGACGCGCACCTTCTCTCCACCCTCCTGCAGGGCGCGTTCCCGATGATGAACATCAGCAATGTGCACGCCGCGGGGGCGCCCAAACAGCCACGCGCGGGAAGGAGAGCACCAGCCAAGAACGGCCCGAAGAGCAAGCCCTTCCCGTGCTACGTGCAGGGCTGCGAGCGCCGCTTCTCGCGCTCCGACGAGCTCAACAGGCACGTGCGCATCCACACGGGCCAGAAGCCCTTCCAGTGCACGATCTGCGCGCGCAGCTTCAGCCGCAGCGACCACCTCACCACGCACACGCGAACGCACACCGGAGAGAAGCCCTTCTCCTGCGACGTGTGCGGCAAGAGGTTCGCGCGCAGCGACGAGAGGAAGAGGCACGGGCGCGTGCACGTCAAGCAGCAGCTGCGAGCTCAGATGATGGCCGCCTACTCGCTGGCCCTGAACGCGCCTGGCGTCTAGAAAGGCTCTGCTGCTCGTTTGGAATTTTAAGTTTCCGGATTTTAACCGACAACCGGAGAGACGCACGACGTCGTACCGGTTTACAGGTGCACAGAGGCGCATGCGTGTTGCAGTGCCCTGAGAGAAGGCTTTAAAGGACTGATGTGGGTGTGAGGCCGCCGGCCCTGACCTTTGACCCAGCCGCTGAAGGATGGAGGACTGCCTGTAACATAAATCAGTGTCTGCATGACGAAGCGTGACGTCAGTGGTTGTTACTGTGGTCAGGAGCTCCATGTTTGTACACAGCTCTATTTTTCTAGACGGATCGTCTACCTCCATGCCAGAGTGTTTATTTTACAAACCTTTTCTATCAGCCAGGTGTGACTGGTGCATTGTGGGATATGCAGTGTGAGCCGAGCTCTGAGTGGCGCACTAGCTGTGCGGGTTTACTGTTCCCTCGTTCTGCATGGAGGCTGCTGTCGCTGTCAATAAACAAACAAACAAACAAACAAACAAACATGCTGAGTCAGACTGGTTCTTCATCACAAACCCTCCTCATCATCACCTCCTCCTCCATCAGCTCCTTTTCTTCATCACAAACACATTCTTCTGGTATTTTCACCGACAGGTTGCCGTTACCTGGCAACAAACGGCCCCGTTAACAGTTGCAGCTGTGGTATTAGCTGTGTAGGCTGCGTTGCTATGGCAACAGCGCCCACGCCACCACCACTGTGTGTTTGTTATTCTGTTATGAGAATCCTACGTCCATCTTTACCGTGGATAGTTTTGACCCTGGGAAGATGAAGATGAAGCTGAGGATGATGATGAAATTCACACACACACACACACACCCTGGTGGTGATGAGCTACATCCTAGCCACAGCTGCATTGACAGCGGAGAGGCTGCCGGTCCCTCTGACCAACACCAGCAGAGGGTGAAGTGTTTTGCCCAAGGACACTTCAGCAGCATTCTCTGCAAGGAGCTGGGGCCCTAACCTCTGACGACATCACTGCAGGCTGATCGCACCTGCCTCCATCACGGAGAAGTGGCTGGAGAAGCTCCTCCTCCACTCCACAGTCCCAGCTGCACCCAGAACAGTTCCCCTACAGAACCCAGCGGGGAGGACGGAGGCATGTCTCCTCCACCCTCCTCTGCAACATCTCCAGACCAAGAAGTTCCAGACCCTCATCCTGTCTCCATTCCTCCTCCACCTCATCCACGACTCCCTCAGACAGACCAGACTCAGAATTGGCCCAGTCACTTCATCTACCAACACCGGCGCCCCCCAGGGTGGTGTTCTCAGCCCCTTTCTGTACACACTCTCCACCAGTGAGTGTGTGGCAGGGTGGAGAAACGAGGGCCCGGGTGGGATTCGATCCCCAGACTCCCGGGTGAGAGTCACGCGCGTTTACCAGTCAGCCAAAGGGACATCCCCTTGGCCAAGTAGGCAGGGCGCATGATCAATCGGGACTCTGTGACAGGACGCTCACACCGTCACAAGTGCACCAGCCCCCCCAGCTACCACTTATTTCAAATGCTCAGATGACACTGCCATGCTAGCTCTTCTTACTTCCATGCCCACTTTAATGAGTGGCGCTCCAACATCTTCCTGGAGCTGCTCGTTCACACCCAGCAACAGATAATCTACATCCTCCACCCTCACACTTCTCCTTCTCTTACACCACCAGCATTCTCCACCCATCCCCAGGGGCGTAGCACCGAATTCTGGGCCCTACAAGCCATCTAGGTGGGCCCCCATGCTGACTTGTTTAATATCCCAGACAGACACCACACTAGCAAAATGGATCCTGAATCAGGTCACCAACACATAACCTAACATGTCCTTTCAGATGAATCAGCCGCCAGTGATTGCTTTTAAACGGAATTACTTCATAGTGGTGAGTTCACCTTTTGTCATCTTGTCATGAGGCCCGCGCTGCTGCTGCTGCATCTAAAGAAGAAGAAGAAGAAAATATCATTCCTATAGCACCTCTCAAGATAAAAATCACGAGGCGCTTCACAAAAACAAACAAAAAAAAGTTAAAATATAAAAAAGCATTTAGATAATGTTTAAAAATATATTTAAAATTTGCAAAAATAGGCAACTGGGATTTAAAAGAAAAAATGTTAAGAAGGAGAGAGAGTGAACAGGAAAGAGGGAAATCAGTGGATCCTGAGGAAGGCGGAATAGGTGGGAGAGCAGAATAAAGAGAGAGAGGTGAAGAAGGTCATACAAAACCAGCTTGAACAAGTGAGTCTTCAGCTGCTTTTTAAAGGAGACCACTGAGTCCACTGATCTCAGGCTCAGGGGGAGAGAGGTCAAGAGTCTGGGGGCCACAGCAGCAAATGATCTGTCACCTTTGACCTTTAGCCTGGTGCTGCACAACCAGTAGGCGTTGATCACTGGACCTCAGGGACCTGCTGGGGGTGTAGGGACTGAGAAGATCACCAATGTAAGATGGTGCTTGTCCATGTAAGGCCCTATAGACCAGAACCAGGATCTTGAAATGAACCCTGAAGTTGACTGGCAGCCAGTGAAGCTGGAGGAGAAGCGGGGTGATGTGGGTGTGTTTGGAGGACTTGGTCAGAAGCCGAGCACAGGCGTTCTGAACCACCTGTAGACGGTTCAGGGAGGTTCTGCTCAGACACGTGAAAAGAGAGTTACAGTAGTCTAAGCGTGAGGAGATGAAGGTGTGGAGAACTGTCTCAAGTTCAGAGCGGGACAGAATGGGACTCAGCTTAGCAACGTTCCTGAGATGGAAGAAGGAAGAGCCAACAAGAGAACTGACATGAGAATCCAGGGTGAGAGCCGGGTCAAAGGTCACGCCAAGATTCCTGACAGAAGGTTTGGTGTGAGAAGCAAGCTGACCAAGAGAGTCTCTGACTTTGGGAACCAGCTTGTCTGGGGAACAGATGAGGATCTCAGTCTTATCTTCATTCAGCTGAAGAAAGCTCCCACCATCCAGGTTCTGATAGAGTCTAAGCAGGTGTGTAACAGCTGCAGCTTAGACATCTCATGGGGCTTAAAGGAGATGTACAGTTGGATGTCATCTGCATAAAGATGGTAGGAGATTCCTTTGAAGGAGCTCGGCTTTTGAAGGATCTAATACTAATAGTTGCAATAATGAAAGGTTAAATACACATAAACCAGCTTGTTGGTGAACGTCATGCACTCCACACTTATAATCCTGCATCAGCAATTATCAGATTGTCTGTTTTTAAGATCAAATAGAAAGAAATTAAATATGATTCAACTGCGAGGCTAAAGTGGAACAATTCAATAAACAGATAAAAGCAAAATATTCTGCTTGAATAATTATTTAAATAGAAAATTAATGGATTGTGTTGTCACAACCAATGGTTGTAAGTTGTTTTATGTTTTGTATATTCATGTTTCTTAGTGCAGGTGCCCACATCTGATTGGTGAACCAGTGGCCTGGAGAGAGTCCTGACTGGATAACTGGTGGGAGCAGACCTTTAGGAGGGATGTCAGCACCACCCCAGCTGATCCTCGTTCTCTGCTCATCCCATCCTGCCACCATCCACCCGGTGTCCTGTGTTCTTGAGGAGAGTAGGGGTGAACCTGCCCTTTAATTCCTCCATTCAGTTTTCTCCTGTGTTTGTAATCAGGGAGGTAAGTGTGGTTGTATTTCTTTTTCTATTGTATCTGTAGGTACGATGATTTTTTAAGCTAGGGGTGTTTTGTTTGTTGTTTTGGCCTTTGGTTCACCCTGTGTTGTATTTATCCTCCCTCGCTATTAGTTCATATAAAACTTGTTAATAAAAATCCTTGTTTACGAGTCAAACTGTGGTGTGGTACTTGGGATCTGTGGAAAATGGGAATCCACCTCCATGTTGTGGCCTGGCCCCTCCTAGACAGGTTGTAACGTGTCAATTAAGAAAATTACACTCGTTTAAAGAATCACATGAAATTATTTCATGATTTAATTCATGGTTTTATCATCGGTTCATCAGTGTCTTTGTTTCTGTCAACCTCCCCCATCAACGTCAGTGGGCGGGGCTAATTCTGATAACAAACATGGCCGCTCCCTTTATGAAAGGGAGGTTGGTGAGAGATTTAAGCTAACGGATAAAACAGAATGTGGTAAAACCGGATTTTCTACGGAGTCCTGCAAACCCCCCAAGGCGCTTTACAACACAATCAGTCATTCACACACTGGTGGGGATGAGCTACGATGTAGCCACAGCTGCCCTGGGGTGCACTGACAGAGGCGAGGCTGCCGAGCACTGGCGCCACCGGTCCCTCCGACCACCACCAGCAGGCGACGTGGGTTAAGTGTCTTGCCCAAGGACAAGACAATGACAGACTGAGCGGGACTCGAACCTGCAACCTTCTGATTACGGGGCGAGCACTTAACTCCTGTGCCACCGTCGCCCACATCAGTGCAGGTGTTATGTAGAAATGTGTCACAGCGTCTAAATGGTGTCCCCGCTTCTCTGGGCCATTACAGCCTCGGGTGTTCTCGTGATAACGCATAAAAACATGAAGGTACAATAAAAAGATCTCTACCAGAGAACTCCGGAGGAACTTCAATGGTGG